AAGGCTTTCTGCACTTTGCTATAGCACAGTGGCTGTATATGAGCAGTAGGAATATCCCAAGGACCAGATGGCGTGAACATAAGGGACCACATCAGTGATACTGCACTTTTTTCACTACAGCTTAATTGTTGTCCTTGTTCTGCCCCACGTGGAAGATGATTCTTACATTTCTGTGGTGACTACCAAAGAAGCAGCAGCATACTCAAAGAGGAGAAATTCCAAAAGTACATTTGTAGAAAACTTGCCTTACAGATCCAGCAGCTCCTTTTTCTTCCTAGCAACAGAATTTAAAAGAATCTGTCTTCACATTTCAAACTGATCCTTGTACGTGTGTTTTGACTTGAATGATCAGGGTTTTTTTCCTCATGAGGTCTATAGAGACTGGATCCTTCTGCATCAGGTACAAAAAGACATTTCCCTCAGAAGAGTCCCTCAAAAGTTCGTGGAAAAAAAAGGTTTTAAATTGTCAGTAAAATGTGTCTGACTACGTTTGGGAAACCCTAACCATGTGCAAGTGCTGTTGAAAGCTTTTGGGGCTAAGCTGGCTTGTATCTGAGCTCACATGTTGTAAACATGGCTCAGCTTGTCTTGTGAAGGGATGGTGAGAAAGTGTTCTTTTATTGGGGGGGGGGGGGAGGGGGGAATGGTAATGGAAGAAATTGCGCTCCATCTGTGCAAAATCCTCAGTGGATTTTCAGCTGATGTGGATACAATTTGAAGATCTTCTTCCAAAACACTTTGTTTTGCACTAATTTACTAAAGCAACTGTATGTTCATTTTTGAAGAACTATATAAAAAAAAAAGAGAGAGAAGGCACAATGAACTTGGCTGAATTTCATTTCAGTGTACATAAAATTCTTTTCAGAATTTCAAATGTAGCTTCTAGAAGACTTTCAAACAAACTGTAAAAACTTGTATTCATGTGAACCTTTCCATTTTATACCTATTTGTCTAATACTTGAGTAACTACTGCTCTGGACTTTCTCAGTGATAGCAATGTTGAGTTGCTGGTTGTTTGCTTTTTATATAGATTTGGTTGCATCTTTTGTTGTGCATGCGAAATGTGCATTAATGCCTGCAGTCTGTAGGGGTGTAATGACAGTTCTCAGTAGTCTTGCTTCTTGGACAGTATTACAAGAAATACTGTAAACTGAGAGGTTCTGCAAGGAACCACACAAAACCAGAAAATAATGTTGGGATTTGAGATGCTGATAAATTGATGTAGAATATCTACATAGTGTGTGTGAAAAATCAGGATTATTTTGTGTGCATTTTGGGGGAGAGGTGGGAAGCTTCATTTAGCCTTATAGGCATTATCATTTCAAGCATCCCATGAGATTATCAGGACAGCGATTTGCAAAGTATTTAAGCAGATCAGCTTCTCTGGAAATGGTTCCTTTTACTTTATTTTTGGGACTTTTTTTGTTACTCAACTGCTTGAATACTTGAATAAACCATTCTCCAGGACAAAATCATTTTAATCCTCTTAAACACAGTGGTCTGAACTATTTGACAAAGTTGTACAGGGCTTACACATCAAAATACTCTTTCAGTGTTTGGATAACCATGTGTTTCCTTTACTTTGACAGAGTAATGTACTTTTTACCTTATTTATCTGTATGAAATTCCAACAGTTAATTTGAAAGTGTTTGTTTATATAATGTTTGTATTTTTAGGTCTTTAATACGGTGTTTCTACCTCTCCTTTGTAATTGCATGCATTATTCTTGAAACTAGGTAATAACTCACTGAACTGTTGTGTAATAGCCTTTTTATTATGGCCTGTATAAATGTATATTAAGGTAAAATAAATACTGACACTAGAAGTGTTTCTATGGTAAAGCTGAGTTTGTGTATGTCTGTAACCAAAGATCAATGCTGTTAACTTCAGAGAGGGGGAAAAAAAAAAACAAACAAAAAAACAAAACCAACTGTCTGTACTCAGCTCATTAAATCAATTGCTGAATGTTGCCTGGAAGCTGAATCTACTTGGGTCAAGAGACACTCACCTCAGGGAGATGGGGCAATGAGCTCATTATCTCTGGATAACTCTGGCACAAAGTGTCCCCAAGTTTGTTTTCTGTTGCTTTGGGAAAACAGTGTACCCTGCTTTGTTGTTTGTTTGTTGTTGTTGTTCATGGGGGTTGGTGGTTGTTTTTGTTGTGTTGTTTTTTTTTTTTTAAAAAAAAAAAACAGCTTTGAAAACAAATATGTTAAGTAGGTTCTTAGGTAACAGTTGTACATTCTTTCAGCAAGGTGCTTGTTTGTTGCCTCCAGCAAAGAGGAGCTGACTGGGCTGCCAAGACAGCATATACAGAACTAAAAATAAATAAATAATGATAGGAAAAAAAAATAGCAGTAAGTTACAATTTCTGTCCAGGCCTTACAAAAAGCAGGTTTCCTCCAGCTTGTAGCTAATACCCTCTCCCCAGCTGAGGTGTGCTGTTATAGCTGGTACACAGCTGTTGTATTTCTTAGCTGTAGTATCATTTTTTTTTCCATTTTATTAAAAAATAAAACCTGCGCTCATGACTGGCATATAACAATAAAAGAAGATGAGGAGTGAGTGAGCAGGGAATGCTAATGAAATATCTGAACATGAATCTAGGAACACAGTGAAAGCCTTAAAGCACGAGTCTAGGAGATAGTTCTTGGGAAAAGCAGCCTCATGATTTTTTATTGGTTTTCTTTTTTTCCCTCAGGATTCAAGTTCATTCTCCTCGCTCCTGCCAGTGAGGCTACAGCTGCACAAACAAGAGAAGAAAAGGGCTATTCTTGCTCCCTGTCTTCAGGAGGAGGAGGCTGATGCTCATAGCCTGTCTTTCTGTATAAGCTCATTCCACAGAGATCCTGAAGCTGTCCTCTGTCTTCAGCTCTCCACACTGAACAGCAGGTGCTTGTTTTTTTTTTTTGTTTGTTTGTTTCAGCCTTTTGAAAGATAGAACTTGAAAGGATACTTGATGTACTGCTTTTCTAGTTCAACTCTAGCATCTACTCAAGAATGCCATGTTCTTCTGTACTTCTGTATTTTCACTTTCTCCTTAATGTGTAGAATTGACTGAGAAATCTAAAATATAGTTTAATTCTGACATTTGCTGCTTTTTATGTGCAAGATTAATTCTTGACCTTTCCTCTGATACAGAGGATGAAATCTAGCGGATCTAACTCACAGCTGATTTATTACAAATTACTCAACATTTTTCAGTTGAGATGTGAGTTGTTGGTCCTGGGACTCGCTAGGTTCTGCATTGCTCTTGCTACTTTATCCAGCAACATCAAGATATTCCCGTTGTCACCTTATGGGTTCAGAGGCAGTAATTGTTGTGATCCGTTGGTACCACAGCACTGTGCAGCGTACAGTCCAGGGGCACTGAAAACGGAAGCTTTCTCCTTGCTGTAGATCACGTAAAGCTGGACACTGTTGCTTTCAGAGCTTGTTGAGGCTTTGAAATTCAGACAGGCTGACTTGTGATCTGGCTTGTGACCTGCCTCATTTGACTCATGTTGCTGCTTCTGTTTTTGTTTTGTATGGTTTGGTTGTTTTTTAATTTTGATCCTTTGTCTTTTTGTCATTTGCTCTGAACTCTGCTTGTCACTGACTTTTTTTTGACTGTCTAACCTGAGCCATAACCCTAGCTGTGGCTTTTCAGTAGAACTGCATGTTTTGCTCCTCCTTTCTGTAGGTCAAGGAAGTATATCTCAGTAACCCTTCTCTTGAAGTCATTTGGAGCCCAGTCTCCTTGACTCTTGGCACTGCTGCTTTGGACAAACACCTTTTTCAATAGCCCTTTGTATGTGGCAGGCTCCCCCCTCCTCTTCAGCTGAAAGCAAACGAAATGCCAGTGGTGCTGTTGAGTCTCGTTGCAGTCTTCGTGCCAATCATTTTCATTGTTTCTTTGTGGCTCTTTCACATTTTCCGTGCTCCAGCTATGTCTACAATGCAGCCCACAGACCACGGCTTTGTACTGCAGAGTATCTTGTTCTTGCAAATGTGAGATCAGCCGTAGCTTTCAAAACAAGTGATGCCATAAATGAACTGAGACGCATTTATTCTTGTAGGTTCCTTAAAGCTCCTCCCTGTTGTTAGTTTTCTGCACTTGCTTTTTTTGATGGAATGTTATTTGGGCTTTTGTATCTGCCTGGCTTGTTGTGCCACTGCCCAGATGATGTAACTTAGGAGTAAACACTTGGATACACATTTAAGTGAGAATTTAGGATTGCCAGCCTGGCTAAAAACTTGGTTATGTCAGGGTGGTGTGTGAGCTACTAAAATATGTATAGAAGAGCTGCGATATTCGGTGGACTCCTTGAAAGCAAACGCTGCATATCTGATCCTGTAAGGGCAAGGTTCTCCTTCAGCAGGCTCTACTGGCTGCTGTTGGGGAAGGGAATCAATCGCGGTGCCTTGCTAGAGCTGACTGCAAGAGGGGAGCTGGAGCAAGAGGCTGCTCGGCAGGGAGGGAAGAGGGGCAGCAGCGCAGATTCTCAATCAGACATCTCCTGCTGCTCTGTGCCTGCTCCTGGCGATCAGAGAACCTCCGGCACTGCTTACCTCCCGCTCCTCCTGCCGGTGATGCCTTTCCCGGAAATAGCTCTCATCTTCATTGTCCCTTAGTGACCGAATGCAAATAGAAACGCTGTCAGCTCCTTCACACCCCGCACTTCTCAGGAATCGGGGGGCGGGAGGGGACTTTGGCCTTGCCCCTGGGCTGCCAGCCTCGCCCAGCGGCTGCCGGCCTCCAGGCGGGGCCGCTTGCCCCCCTGCGGCCGGGCACAGCCCCCGGGGACCCGGCACGGGCAGCGCCGGGGGCTCGGCCCCGACCGGGACCCTCCGGGGGCTGGGGGCGCCCCCTCCTCCGGGGCCTTTTCCCGCGAGTTTTGTCCCCAGGCCCCGCCCCCGATGCCCAAGCCCCGCCCCCTACCCCACAGGCCCCGCCCCCCGAGCCCCGCCCGCTGCTTCCATTCGCCGGGGACCGGGGAGCGGCTCCGGGGCTGGGTCCGTCCCGCATCAGGGGGTGCCGGGGGGTCGCAGGCGCCCACGGGCAGGCTCCGGGTCCCCGCAGCGCCCAGCGGGCATGGAGAGGATGCAGCAGGTCGTGGGGAGGGCCAGGGCGGCCTTCAGCTCGGGACGGTGCCGCTCGCTGGAGTTCAGGCTGCAGCAGCTGAAGAACCTGGAGCGGATGGTGCAGGAGAAGGAGAAGGAGATCCTGGCGGCCCTGCAGTCGGATCTGCACAAGGTCTGTGCGCAGGGGCGGTTGGCAGCTGGGGGAAAAGCGGCAGCCCCTGGGTTGCATCCTGCTCGTTGAGTGGTGAAAGGGCTTGGGCTGGGAGGGGACTTAAAGACCATCCAGCTCCGACCCCCTGCCGTGGGCAGGGTGGCACCCACGGGATCAGCATGGCCAGGACCCAGTGACCCTGGCCTTGAACGGCGCTTGTGCAGCTCAATGAGCGCGGGGACCACCCATGGGTGCAGGAGGTGAGAGTGCCTGCTGTCAGCACCCTCAGTGATCTGCCTGTCGTTGCAGTGTGGGCACAACGCGTACAGCCACGAGGTTATGGGAGTACTGGGAGAGCTGGCCCAGGCCATGGAGAATTTGCCATCATGGGCGGCTCCTCAGCCGGTGAAGAAGAACCTGCTGACGATGCGGGATGAGGCGTACATTTACCCCGAGCCGCTGGGGGTGGTGCTGGTGATCGGTGCCTGGAATTACCCCTTCATGCTGGTTGTGCAGCCGCTGATCGGAGCTATTGCAGCAGGTGGGGACCTGCATGGGGTCTGGGTCTGTGTGGGGGCCATGGGAGGTGAGAAGATTGCAAGGGTTGAGTGGCCGCACTGGTTTTGTCTCCTAGGCAATGCGGTGGTGGTGAAGCCATCAGAGATCAGTGAGCACACATCCCAGCTGTTGGCAGATCTCCTCCCTCAGTACCTGGATGAGGTGAGTGTTGCTCTGCACTGCACTCGTTGTTCCACGCCACCTCGTGGCTGCTCCAGTGAGCTGCTACAGACCAGAGGAACCACAACAGGCTCATATACCCCCAGGAGCTGAAGCATTGTCTGACATCTGTTGCCCTGTTTCAGAGAGGCTGTTCCACTTACAGCATGGCTCTGCCGTACAATTTGCTCTCAGGAACTAAAAACATTCTCTAGGTGGGGAGAGAGAGCTGAGGAAGGGGAGAGCCTGGTGGTCACTCGTGCTGTTGGCTTCAAAGTGTAGAAGAAGCTTGACAGCATGACTCAGCCCTGGCCTCTAACTCTGTTTCTTTCTCATTTCTGTGGGACAGTTCAATCAGTGGAGTTTCATGTTGTTAGAAGCAGCCCAGGTTGCAGTCTAGCCCAAAAGCGAGTTTGCCTCATGGAGAGCTGCCCACTGGATGTAATTCATTTAGTCAGGGTCAGTGTGAGTCTGACTCTTGTCCCTGCAGGAGCTGTACCCGGTGGTCACAGGAGGAGTGCCTGAGACAACGGAGCTGCTGACGCAGAGATTCGACCACATCCTCTACACTGGGAACACCACCGTGGGCAAAATCGTGATGGCAGCGGCTGCCAAGCACCTGACGCCCGTCACCCTGGAGCTGGGTGGGAAGAGCCCCTGCTACATCGACAAGGACTGCGACCTGGCCGTCGCCTGCAGGTCGGGCTGTCATGGGCCCAGGGCAGGGGCTAAACACTGGGGCTGGGGCAGGAAGACGTGTCTGGGCCGCTACGGGGCTCAAAGGTGATGGTGGGGTGGCGGTGGGGACTGGAGGGGGCTGAGTGTCCCTGTTGCTGCAGGCGGATAACGTGGGGGAAGTACATGAACTGTGGGCAAACCTGCATTGCCCCGGACTACATCCTGTGCGAGCCGTCCATCCAGAGCCAGGTGGTGGAGAACATTAAGGCGACTCTGCAGGTGAGCGCGGAGGCTCTCGTGCTGTGGCCGCTGTCACCTCGGAGGTGTCAGTTTGTGACACGGAGGCCCCGGAGCCGTGGCCGTGCTGCAGGTGAGTGAAGGGCTTTGGTTCTGCTCTGCCCTTTGCCAGGAGTTCTATGGGGAAGATGTGAAGAAGTCTCCGGATTACGAGAGGATCGTCAACAAGCGCCACTTCAGGAGGATCGTGAGCCTGCTGGAAGGCCAGAAGATCGCGCACGGGGGAGAGACGGATGAGGCCTCCTGCTTCATAGGTAGCTGTGGCGCGTGGTGGGCAGAGGCCCTGTGGCGGGCCCCATCTGCTGTGCTGCTGACCTCATGCCCTGTGTGCCCTCCCGCTTGCCTCAGCACCCACCATCCTGACGGACGTTTCTGCGGAGTCCAAGGTGATGGAGGAGGAGATCTTTGGGCCGGTGCTTCCGATTGTGTCAGTGAAGGGCGTGGACGAAGCCATTGAGTTCATCAACAGTCGGGAGAAGCCCCTTGCCCTCTATGTCTTCTCCAACGACAAGAAGGTGGGTCAGGGCTCTGTGTGGCTCCATGCTGGGTGCAGCCGTCCCAGGCCCAGCTCGGTGCTGGGCCCTGTTGGCTGCTGTTTGTGGGTGGATTGCAGCTTTTGTGTCCTGTGGGACAGGCGTGTCTGCAGGCAGAGTTGCCAGAGCCCCCAGGGCACATGCATGAAGCAGTCAGGATCTACCTGGTGTTGTGAAACAGGGGTGGATAAAAGGCTGAATTTCCTGCTTGGAATCCAGGTCGCCATGCAGTGATCCTAGGGACTTTGAATGTTTTGCTGTGGAGGAGGGTTCTTGTGTTTCCAGCTTTTCCATTTCAATTAGTGTTGTGTGGAGAGGGCTTATCTGAGGTGTCAGCCAGAGAAAGTGAAAGTGAAAGCTTTTTCATAGAATCACAGAATCACAGAATTTCTAGGTTGGAAGAGACCTCAAGATCATCGAGTCCAACCTCTAACCTAACACGAACAGTCCCCACTAAACCATATCCCTAAGCTCTACATCTAAACGTCTTTTGAAGACTTCCAGGGATGGTGACTCCACCACCTCCCTGGGCAGCCTGTTCCAATGCCTCACAACCCTTTCAGTAAAGAAGCTCTTCCTTTTGTTCCATGGCAGAGACCTGTTGGTCTCTGCTAGGCCCTTGTTATCTTGTTGTTTTTTCTTCTGTCAGGTAATCAAGAGAGTCATCTCAGAAACCTCCAGTGGGGGCGTTACTGGAAATGATGTTATCATGCATTACTTGCTCTCAAGTTTACCCTTTGGTGGTGTCGGTAAGTTTCTGGGGCTCCTGAAGTGTTGTGATTTGGTGCTTGTGCCACAGCACTGCAGTGGTTGGCTTGTGCCCAGCTACTCCTGCGCCTGTCACCTGTGAAGGGTCTTTGTATAGCAGGTCTCAGTAACAACTACAAATTGTACAAGTCTCTTAAGAGAGAGGAAACATGAGAGAATAAGAGATGGAAGTATGTTTGGTATGTGTTGTTGGGAGGATTGAAGCATGTAGCATAGAGTAATGTGAAAGGTGTTTTCAAAACATTAGTTGTGACCAGGGTGATCAGCAGTAACTGCTGGGGGGAGGGTGCAGATGGACACCTTAGAGACTGGGAAGTTCTGCAGAGAGGAAGGACACATCCTCCCTGCAGGAATATAGGGGAGAAGTTAAGCTTTGAAACTACAGCAAGCCAAAATGTGGATAGGTAACTTGCACTGCAGCTGGCCAGCAATGGAAACTTTCCTGTGTTCCTGCTTGCCGTGCTGGTGGCCACAAGTAGCCAAAGGCTTGGCCTGCCAAGCCTGTGGTGTGACCTGGTTTGGTTGTGTGTCCTAGGGAACAGCGGGATGGGTGCCTACCATGGCAAGCACAGCTTTGAGACCTTCTCCCACCGCCGCGCCTGCTTGATCAAGGACCTGAAGATGGAGGGCATGAACAAACTCCGGTACCCGCCTGGCAGCCAGAAGAAGCTGGATTGGGCCAAGTTCTTCATTTTGAAGCGGTTTAACAAGGTCCGAGTTGGACTGTCGTTGAAGTGATTACTGTGAATTTCATGTTTATGGCTCATTAGATATGAAAGATACCAGGTGTAGGAGTTGAACATTTATTGCAGCTTTTCAAACAGCAGGGCTATTAATAAGGCACCTTTCTGCCACATCTTTGTAGGCAAAGTTTCTGCTAGTTCAAAATGGGATTGATATTCATCAGTAGTGCCTGACATCTTTCTTGTATTGTACTGGAAAATGTGAATCTGGATCAGGATGTTTAACTATTCATGTAATACCTAAACAGTCTGAGTAGATTTGTCATTTCACCAACTAATGAATTTCATAAAATTTTCTATATAACATAGAAAGAGAACAAGTGTCTCAATGGGCAATAAACCTTTGGTGTTGGGTGGGTTTTTTTGGCTTATGGTAGTACTGCAGGGCTGCAAGTCAGCATTATTTGTTTAGAAATGCTTGTCACAAGATAAGTTCTCACTCGGCACCGTTCCAGGAGACTCAGCTGGTATTTTGCAACACATAAAGCAACCTCAGCTTGTTTCTGGTCCATAGCTGGCTAAAAGATGCCCCTGCCAAGGCCAAGGGGCCATCTCCCAGGATGGCATCACGGTGCTGCTCTGTCACTCCTGTCAGTACAGAGGAGCCTCAGGTTTCTGTGAGGGCATGGCCCGGTAGCAGTCTCGGGCCCCAGGATGAGATGCAGGCTGGGATGTTTGCCTGCTCTGTGTGCTGCCAAGCATGGGCAGCAATGCAGTGGCATGGAAATCCTTTGGCTGAAGGGGGAGAATTTTCAAGCAGGAGAGCAGACTGGAAAATGGCCACTGTGGAAAGCACAGGTAAGTAGCGGTCTCGGTGTTCCTGCAGACACCCTCTTGTGGGTGTGCTCACTGCAGAGGATGCGTTGCAGCGCTGACACCCAGGACACAACGCAATGCTCCACTCCCAGAGTTCACAGACTCTTCCTCTGGCTGCAGTAGCACAAACCCCTTGTCTAATTTTTTTTTGGACTCTCAGGCAGCACGGCACGTGGACAGAGCTTCAACATAACCTGTGTGCAAGCGTGCTAAATAGGATCAAGGAGAGCGTGTTCACAAGGTGTTGCTCCTATGAGAAAAGTTCCCACTTTTTCTCCTTGTGTCGTGTTGAGTGTGAGCCCAGCTCCTTTTCATCTATCACAGTGCAAAGGAGCCACCAAGCCCAGCCTGGTTTTCTTTACATTGTGCCTGCTGCGTGCAAGTACGGGCAGTTGCTTGTCACTCTTTTCCACCGCAGGCTGGCTACTGCTGAGGTTTGTGCAATCGCTTGTGAAATGTTCATGTGCTGGCTGAGCCACAACCCGCAAGTTGTTTGCAAAGCCACCTAGCTGCAGGAAAGGCAGGCTTTGTGTCGGGGGGAGCGGCAGCTCAGGCACAGCGCCTTGGGATTAAGCTTGTGTCCTGCCCTTGGAGAGACGCTGATCTGGGAAAACAGCGTGGAGATGGAGCTGATGTGAGGGGAGCAGGGGTCCAGGGGGGTCTGGGTGTAGATGTGGGGTGCCTGGGAGCTGCTGGACAGCAAATGCTCTGCTGCAGCCCTATCTTGGGGGCATGAGCAGCTGGCTCCTGGCCCTGCACAACAGCGAGGTGAGCGAGCAGGTGCAGAATTAGCTGGGCATGGTTTTGGCTGAGGAGCTTCACAATAATACATACGGCCTCTGTAAGAGTGTCGGGTATGCTGCCTGAGGAAGTGCACCATCTGAAATGACAGCAAGTCACACCTCTGCAGTAAGTTCCCAGTAACCCGCTGCAGTTCCTGGAAGTTGGTGCGGGACTGATTTCACGGGAATGAGCCCGGCCTTGGGTCAGTGTCATTCCCTGGATGTGTGACTCGTGTTCAGCACGTGAGAGCTGCCTCAAGGTTACGCTGCTCGCCGCTCAGCCCCCTGCTCTTGCTTCTTTTGCCCCGTGTCCCCCCCCACGTGTGACTTCAGGGCCCGGCTCTTCCTCGGCTGCCAGCGACCGCAGCCTCTGCGTCCCCCCGGAGCAGGGGGAGCTGGAAGAGCCCCACGGCTCAAGGCCGTGATGCCACGGCAGTCAGGGGAGGGGCCGCCCCGTGCCATCTCCCCTGCTAGATAAGGCAGCCGGCACGGGGGGGACTTTGCCCGGGCCCTGGCGCTGCCGGCCCCGACCGCGACCCGCGGGAAAACCCGCGCTGGCCCCGCCCCCTGCGGCCAAAGCCCCGCCCCCAGCGGCCAAAGCCCCGCCCCCAGCGCCGCTTCCATTCCGGGGCGGAGCGGCCGGGGAGGGAGGGACGGGGACAGGGGACAGGGGGACACCGGCACTGCCCGCACGGCCCCGCAGCGCCCAGCGGGCATGGAGAGGATGCAGCAGGTCGTGGGGAGGGCCAGGGCGGCCTTCAGCTCGGGACGGTGCCGCTCGCTGGAGTTCAGGCTGCAGCAGCTGAAGAACCTGGAGCGGATGGTGCGGGAGAAGGAGAAGGAGATCCTGGCGGCCCTGCAGTCGGATCTGCACAAGGTCTGTGCGCAGGGGCGGTTGGCAGCTGGGGGAAAAGCGGCAGCCCCTGGGTTGCATCCTGCTCGTTGAGTGGTGAAAGGGTGTGGGCTTAAAGACCATCCAGCTCCGACCCCCTGCCGTGGGCAGGGTGGCACCCACGGGATCAGCATGGCCAGGACCCAGTGACCCTGGCCTTGAACGGCGCTTGTGCAGCTGGATGAGCTCAGGGGCCACCCATGGGTGCCCGCTGTCAGCACTCTTTGCAAGCTGCCTGTCGTTGCAGAGCGGGCACAACGCGTACAGCCATGAGATCATGGGAGTGCTGGTGGAGCTGGCCCTGGTCATGGAGAAGCTGCCATCCTGGGCAGCCCCTCAGCCGGTGAAGAAGAACCTGCTGACGATGCGGGATGAGGCGTACATCTACCCCGAGCCGCTGGGGGTGGTGCTGGTGATCGGTGCCTGGAACTACCCCTTCGTCCTGGTCATGCAGCCGCTGATCGGGGCCATCGCAGCAGGTGGGGACCCACGTGTGGCCCAGGTCCCCTGTGGGGTCTGTGTGGGGGCTGTGGGAGGTGAGAGGAGCACGAGGGTTGAGTGGCCGCACTGGGTTTGTGTCCTAGGCAATGCGGTGGTGGTGAAGCCGTCAGAGGTCAGTGAGCACACGTCCCAGCTGATTGCTGATATCCTCCCTCAGTACCTGGACCGGGTGAGTACAGCTTTGCATAAGGTGTGTTGTTCGTCGGTATCTCTTGGCTGCTCCAGTGCAGCTGCCCCAGGCTAGGGGAGATCCTGCAGGTCACCAGTGCTGTAGGCTTCAAAGCATGGAAGCAGCTCCACGGCCGGACTCAGCCCAGGCCTCAAACTCAGTTTCTTCCTAGTTTGTATGGGGCAGTGCAATCAGTGGAGTTTTACGTGGTTAGAAGGAGCCCAGGTTGCAGTCTAGCCCACAAGCAAGTTTGCCTCATGGAGAGCTGCCCACTGGATGTAATTCATTTAGTCAGGGTCGGTGTGAGTGTCTCTTGTCCCTGCAGGAGCTGTACCCGGTGGTCACAGGAGGAGTGCCTGAGACAACGGAGCTGCTGAAGCAGAGATTCGACCACATCCTGTACACCGGGAACACCGCCGTGGGCAAAATCGTGATGGCAGCGGCTGCCAAGCACCTGACGCCCGTCACCCTGGAGCTGGGTGGGAAGAGCCCCTGCTACATCGACAAGGACTGCGACCTGGCCGTCGCCTGCAGGTTGGGCTGTCACGGGACTGGGGAAGGGGCAGGAGGACGTGTCTGGGCTTCTGTGGGCTCAAAGGTGACGGTGGGGTGGCAGTGGGGACTGGAGGGGGCTGAGTGTCCCTGATGCTGCAGGCGGATAACGTGGGGGAAGTACATGAACTGTGGGCAAACCTGCATTGCCCCGGACTACATCCTGTGCGAGCCGTCCATCCAGAGCCAGGTGGTGGAGAACATTAAGGCGACTCTGCAGGTGAGCGCGGAGGCTCTCGTGCTGTGGCCGCTGTCACCTCGGAGGTGTCAGTTTGTGACACGGAGGCCCCGGAGCCGTGGCCGTGCTGCGGGTGAGTGAAGGGCTTTGGTTCTGCTCTGCCCTTTGCCAGGAGTTCTACGGGGAAGATGTGAAGAAGTCTCCGGATTACGAGAGGATCGTCAACAAGCGCCACTTCAGGAGGATCGTGAGCCTGCTGGAAGGCCAGAAGATCGCGCACGGGGGAGAGACGGATGAGGCCTCCTGCTTCATAGGTAGCTGTGGCGCGTGGTGGGCAGAGGCCCTGTGGCGGGCCCCATGTGCTGTGCTGCTGACCTCATGCCCTGTGTGCCCTCCCGCTTGCCTCAGCACCCACCATCCTGACGGACGTTTCTGCGGAGTCCAAGGTGATGGAGGAGGAGATCTTTGGGCCGGTGCTTCCGATTGTGTCAGTGAAGGGCGTGGACGAAGCCATTGAGTTCATCAACAGTCGGGAGAAGCCCCTTGCCCTCTATGTCTTCTCCAACGACAAGAAGGTGGGTCAGGGCTCTGTGTGGCTCCATGCTGGGTGCAGCCGTCCCAGGCCCAGCTCGGTGCTGGGCCCTGTTGGCTGCTGTTTGTGGGTGGATTGCAGCTTTTGTGTCCTGTGGGACAGGCGTGTCTGCAGGCAGAGTTGCCAGAGCCCCCAGGGCACATGCTGAAGCAGTCAGGATCTACCTGGTGTTGTGAAACAGGGGTGGATAAAAGGCTGAATTTGCTGCTTGGAATCCAGGTCGCCATGCAGTGATCCTAGGGACTTTGAATGTTTTGCTGTGGAGGAGGGTTCTTGTGTTTCCAGCTTTTCCATTTCAATTAGTGTTGTGTGGAGAGGGCTTATCTGAGGTGTCAGCCAGAGAAAGTGAAAGTGAGAGCTTTTTCACAGAATCACAGAATCACAGAATTTCTAGGTTGGAAGAGACCTCAAGATCATCGAGTCCAACCTCTAACCTAACACGAACAGTCCCCACTAAACCATATCCCTAAGCTCTACATCTAAACGTCTTTTGAAGACTTCCAGGGATGGTGACTCCACCACCTCCCTGGGCAGCCTGTTCCAATGCCTCACAACCCTTTCAGTAAAGAAGCTCTTCCTTTTGTTCCATGGCAGAGACCTGTTGGTCTCTGCTAGGCCCTTGTTATCTTGTTGTTTTTTCTTCTGTCAGGTAATCAAGAGAGTCATCTCAGAAACCTCCAGTGGGGGCGTTACTGGAAATGATGTTATCATGCATTACTTGCTCTCAAGTTTACCCTTTGGTGGTGTCGGTAAGTTTCTGGGGCTCCTGAAGTGTTGTGATTTGGTGCTTGTGCCACAGCACTGCAGTGGTTGGCTTGTGCCCAGCTACTCCTGCGCCTGTCACCTGTGAAGGGTCTTTGTATAGCAGGTCTCAGTAACAACTACAAATTGTACAAGTCTCTTAAGAGAGAGGAAACATGAGAGAATAAGAGAGGGATGTATGTTTGGTATGTGTTGTTGGGAGGATTGAAGCATGTAGCATAGAGTAATGTGAAAGGTGTTTTCAAAACATTAGTTGTGACCAGGGTGATCAGCAGTAACTGCTGGGGGGAGGGTGCAGATGGACACCTTAGAGACTGGGAAGTTCTGCAGAGAGGAAGGACACATCCTCCCTGCAGGAATATAGGGGAGAAGTTAAGCTTTGAAACTACAGCAAGCCAAAATGTGGATAGGTAACTTGCACTGCAGCTGGCCAGCAATGGAAACTTTCCTGTGTTCCTGCTTGCCGTGCTGGTGGCCACAAGTAGCCAAAGGCTTGGCCTGCCAAGCCTGTGGTGTGACCTGGTTTGGTTGTGTGTCCTAGGGAACAGCGGGATGGGTGCCTACCATGGCAAGCACAGCTTTGAGACCTTCTCCCACCGCCGCGCCTGCTTGATCAAGGACCTGAAGATGGAGGGCATGAACAAACTCCGGTACCCGCCTGGCAGCCAGAAGAAGCTGGATTGGGCCAAGTTCTTCATTTTGAAGCGGTTTAACAAGGTCCGAGTTGGACTGTCGTTGAAGTGATTACTGTGAATTTCATGTTTATGGCTCATTAGATATGAAAGATACCAGGTGTAGGAGTTGAACATTTATTGCAGCTTTTCAAACAGCAGGGCTATTAATAAGGCACCTTTCTGCCACATCTTTGTAGGCAAAGTTTCTGCTAGTTCAAAATGGGATTGATATTCATCAGTAGTGCCTGACATCTTTCTTGTATTATACTGGAAAATGTGAATCTGGATCAGGATGTTTAACTATTCATGTAATACCTAAACAGTCTGAGTAGATTTGTCATTTCACCAACTAATGAATTTCATAAAATTTTCTATATAACGTAGAAAGAGAACAAGTGTCTCAATGGGCAATAAACCTTTGGTGTTGGGTGGGTTTTTTTGGCTTATGGTAGTACTGCAGGGCTGCAAGTCAGCATTATTTGTTTAGAAATGCTTGTCACAAGATAAGTTCTCACTCGGCGCCGTTCCAGGAGACTCAGCTGGTATTTTGCAACACATAAAGCAACCTCAGCTTGTTTCTGGTCCACAGCTGGCTAAAAGATGCCCCTGCCAAGGCCAAGGGGCCATCTCCCAGGATGGCATCACGGTGCTGCTCTGTTACTCCTGTCAGTACAGAGGAGCCTCAGGTTTCTGTGAGGGCATGGCCCGGTAGCTGTCTTGGGCCCCAGGATGAGATGCAGGCAGGGATGTTTGCCTGCTCTGTGTGCTGCCAAGCATGGGCAGCAATGCAGTGGCATGAAAATCCTTTGGCTGAAGGGGGAGGTTTTTCAAGCAGGAGAGCAGACTGGAAAATGGCCACTGTGGAAAGCACAGGTAAGTAGCGGTCTCGGTGTTCCTGCAGACACTCTGTGGGTGTGCTCACTGCAGAGGATGCGTTGCAGCGCTGACACCCAGGACACAACGCAATGCTCCACTCCCAGAGTTCACAGATTCTTCCTCTGGCTGCAATAGCACGAACCCCTTGTCTAATTTTTTTTTGGACTCTCAGGCAGCATGGCACATGGACAGAGCTTCAACATAACCTGTGTGCAAGCGTGCTAAATAGGATCAAGGAGAGCGTGTTCACAAGGTGTTGCTCCTATGAGAAAAGTTCCCACTTTTTCTCCTTGTGTCGTGTTGAGTGTGAGCCCAGCTCCTTTTCATCTATCACAGTGCGAAGGAGCCACCAAGCCCAGCCTGGTTTTCTTTACATTGTGCCTGCTGCGTGCAAGTACGGGCAGTTGCTTGTCACTCTGTTCCACCGCAGGCTGACTACTGCTGAGGTTTGTGCAATCGCTTGTGAAATGTTCATGTGCTGGCTGAGCCACAACCCGCAAGTTGTTTGCAAAGCCACCCAGCTGCAGGAAAGGCAGGCTTTGTGTCGGGGGGAGCGGCAGCTCAGGCACAGCGCCTTGGGCTTAAGCTTGTGTCCTGCCCTTGGAGAGACACTGATCTGGGAAAACAGCGTGGAGATGGAGCTGATGTGAGGGGAGCAGGGGTCCGGAGGGCCTGGGCGTAGATGTGGGGTGCCTGGGAGCTGCTGGGCAGCAACTGCTCTGCTGCAGCCCCATCTTGGGGGCATGAGCAGCTGGCTCCTGGCCCTGCACCGCAGCGAGGTGAGCGAGCAGGTGCAGAATTAGCTGGGCATGGTTTTGGCTGAGGAGCTTCACAATAATACATACGGCCTCTGTAAGAGTGTCAGGTATGCTGCCTGAGGAAGTGCACCATCTGAAATGACAGTGAGTAACACCTCTGCAGTAAGTTCCCAGTAACCCGCTGCAGTTCCTGGAGGTTGGTGCGGGACTGATTTCACGGGAATGAGCCCGGCCTTGGGTCAGTGTCATTCCCTGGATGTGTGACTCGTGTTCAGCACGTGAGAGCTGCCTCAAGGTTGTGCTGCTCGCCGCTCAGCCCCCTGCTCTTGCTTCTTTTGCCCCCGTCCCCCCCCACGTGTGACTTCAGGGCCCGGCTCTTCCTCGGCTGCCAGCGACCGCAGCCTCTGCGTCCCCCCGGAGCAGGGGGAGCTGGAAGAGCCCCACGGCTCAAGGTCGTGATGCCACGGCAGTCAGGGGAGGGGCCGCCCCGTGCCATCTCCCCTGCTAGATAAGGCAGCCGGCACGGGGGGGACTTTGCCCGGGCCCTGGCGCTGCCGGCCCCGACCGCGACCCGCGGGAAAACCCGCGCTGGCCCCGCCCCCTGCAGCCAAAGCCCCGCCCCCAGCGCTCTGAGCCCCGCCCCCAGCGCCGCTTCCATTCCGGGGCGGAGCGGCCGGGGAGGGAGGGACGGGGACAGGGGGACAGGGGACGGGAGGACACCGGCACTGCCCGCACGGCCCCGCAGCGCCCAGCGGGCATGGAGAGGATGCAGCAGGTCGTGGGGAGGGCCAGGGCGGCCTTCAGCTCGGGACGGTGCCGCTCGCTGGAGTTCAGGCTGCAGCAGCTGAAGAACCTGGAGCGGATGGTGCGGGAGAAGGAGAAGGAGATCCTGGCGGCCCTGCAGTCGGATCTGCACAAGGTCTGTGCGCAGGGGCGGTTGGCAGCTGGGGGAAAAGCGGCAGCCCCTGGGTTGCATCCTGCTCGTTGAGTGGTGAAAGGGCTTGGCTGGAGGGGCTTAAAGACCATCCAGCTCCGACCCCCTGCCGTGGGCAGGGTGGCACCCACGGGATCAGCATGGCCAGGACCCAGTGACCCTGGCCTTGAACGGCGCTTGTGCAGCTGAATGAGCTCAGGGGCCACCCATGGGTGCCCGCTGTCAGCACTCTTTGCAAGCTGCCTGTCAGTTGCAGAGCTGGGCACAACGCGTACAGCCACGAGATCATGGGAGTGCTGGGGGAGCTGGCCCTGGTCATGGAGAAGCTGCCATCCTGGGCAGCCCCTCAGCCGGTGAAGAAGAACCTGCTGACGATGCGGGACGAGGCGTACATCTACCCCGAGCCGCTGGGGGTGGTGCTGGTGATCGGTGCCTGGAACTACCCCTTCGTCCTGGTCATGCAGCCACTGATCGGGGCCATCGCAGCAGGTGGGGACCCACGTGTGGCCCAGGTCCCCTGAGGGGTCTGTGTGGGGGCTGTGGGAGGTGAGAGGAGCACAAAGGTTGAGCAGCAGCACTGGGTTTGTGTCCTAGGCAATGCGGTAGTGGTGAAGCCGTCAGAGGTCAGTGAGCACACGTCCCAGCTGATTGCTGATATCCTCCCTCAGTACCTGGACCGGGTGAGTACAGCTTTGCATAAGGTGTGTTGTTCGTCGGTATCTCTTGGCTGCTCCAGTGCAGCTGCCCCAGGCTAGGGGAGATCCTGCAGGTCACCAGTGCTGTAGGCTTCAAAGCATGGAAGCAGCTCCACGGCTGGACACAGCCCAGGCCTCCAACTCAGTTTCTTCCTAGTTTGTATGGGGCAGTGCAATCAGTGGAGTTTTACGTGGTTAGAAGGAGCCCAGGTTGCAGTCTAGCCCAAAAGCGAGTTTGCCTCATGGAGAGCTGCTCTCTGGATGTACTTGCTTTGAGACAGGGTCGGTGTGAGGCTGTCGCTCATCCCTGCAGGAGCTGTACCCGGTGGTCACAGGAGGAGTGCCTGAGACAACGGAGCTGCTGAAGCAGAGATTCGACCACATCCTGTACACTGGGAACACCGCCGTGGGCAAAATCGTGATGGCAGCGGCTGCCAAGCACCTGACGCCCGTCACCCTGGAGCTGGGTGGGAAGAGCCCCTGCTACATCGACAAGGACTGCGACCTGGCCGTCGCCTGCAGGTCGGGCTGTCACAGGCCCAGGGCAGGGGCTAAACATTGGGGCTGGGGCAGGAGGACGTGTCTGGGCCGCTACGGGCTCATAGGTGATGGTGGGGTGGCGGTGGGGACTGGAGGGGGCTGAGTGTCCCTGTTGCTGCAGGCGGATAACGTGGGGGAAGTACATGAACTGTGGGCAAACCTGCATTGCCCCGGACTACATCCTGTGCGAGCCGTCCATCCAGAGCCAGGTGGTGGAGAACATTAAGGCGACTCTGCAGGTGAGCGCGGAGGCTCTCGTGCTGTGGCCGCTGTCACCTCGGAGGTGTCAGTTTGTGACACGGAGGCCCCGGAGCTGTGTCCGTGCTGCAGGTGAGTGAAGGGCTTTGGTTCTGCTCTGCCCTTTGCCAGGAGTTCTATGGGGAAGATGTGAAGAAGTCTCCGGATTACGAGAGGATCGTCAACAAGCGCCACTTCAGGAGGATCGTGAGCCTGCTGGAAGGCCAGAAGATCGCGCACGGGGGAGAGACGGATGAGGCCTCCTGCTTCATAGGTAGCTGTGGCGCGTGGTGGGCAGAGGCCCTGTGGCGGACCCCATGTGCTGTGCTGCTGACCTCATGCCCTGTGTGCCCTCCCGCTTGCCTCAGCACCCACCATCCTGACGGACGTTTCTGCGGAGTCCAAGGTGATGGAGGAGGAGATCTTTGGGCCGGTGCTTCCAATTGTGTCAGTGAAGGGCGTGGACGAAGCCATTGAGTTCATCAACAGTCGGGAGAAGCCCCTTGCCCTCTATGTCTTCTCCAACGACAAGAAGGTGGGTCAGGGCTCTGTGTGGCTCGATGCTGGGTGCAGCCGTCCCAGGCCCAGCTCGGTGCTGGGCCCTGTTGGCTGCTGTTTGTGGGTGGATTGCAGCTTTTGTGTCCTGTGGGACAGGCGTGTCCGCAGGCAGAGTTGCCAGAGCCCCCAGGGCACATGCTGAAGCAGTCAGGATCTACCTGGTGTTGTGAAACAGGGGTGGATAAAAGGCTGAATTTCCTGCTTGGAATCCAGGTCGCCATGCAGTGATCCTAGGGACTTTGAATGTTTTGCTGTGGAGGAGGGTTCTTGTGTTTCCAGCTTTTCCATTTCAATTAGTGTTTTGTGGAGTGAGGTGTCAGCCAGAGAAAGTGAACGTGAGGGCCTGTTGTCGCATGGCTCCCTTCCCAGTGCTGATTGATGTCGTCTGGTCTCTGCTGAGCCTTTGTAATTTTGTTGTTGTTTTTTCTTCTGTCAGGTAATCAAGAGAGTCATCTCAGAAACCTCCAGTGGGGGCGTTACTGGAAATGATGTCATCATGCATTTCTTCCTCTCAACCTTACCCTTTGGTGGTGTCGGTGAGTTTCTGGGGCTCCTTAAGTGTTGTGACTTGGTGCTTGTGCCACAGCACTGCAGTGGTTGGCTTGTGCCCGGTACTCTGCGTCTGTCACATGGGAAGGGTCTTTGTATAGCAGGACTCAATAACAACCACAGATCCTACAAGTCCCTTAGGAGAGGGGCCAAGAGAGGGAAGTATGTTTGGTATGTGTTGTTGGGAGGATTGAAGCATTTAGTGCAGATTCATTTAATTTCTTTTTATTAGTTTTCCAGGAAGCTAGTTGAGCTTTCCAGAAAAGGGTTTGGATGTCACGGTGCTCACAAACTGGTGGCGAGGCAGTGGTGTTCTTCTGCTGTGACCATCAAACGCTGTGTGGGGACTGAGAAGCAGAGGTGTACCCTGCCAGGGAGCTCAGGAGAAACCCTTTTCACTCAGCATGGGTCGGGTCTCAGAGGCACATGTGGAGTTTTGAGGGAGGGAGCAAGATCCAGGGGAGTGCTGGGCATGGCTCAGATGCATAGGGAACAGCACCTACAGGGACACACTGAAATCCTGGAGTCTGTGTGGTCAAAGGGGTGTGGGGAAGATGAGAAATGGAGTGCAGGTGGACATCTTAGAGACTGAGAGGTTCTGTGGAGAGGAAGGACACAGCCTCCCAGCAGGAATATAGGGAAAAAGTCATGCTTTAGAACTGTAGCAAGCCAAAATGTGGGTAGATAACTTGCACTGCAGCTGGCCAGCAACGGAAACTTTCCTGTGTTCCTGCTTGCCGTGCTGGTGGCCACAAGTAGCCAAAGGCTTGGCCTGCCAAGCCTGTGGTGTGACCTGGCTTGGTTGTGTGTCCCAGGGAACAGCGGGATGGGCGCCTACCACGGCAAGCACAGCTTTGAGACCTTCTCCCACCACCGCGCCTGCTTGATCAAGGACCTGAAGATGGAGGGCACAAATAAACTCCGGTACCCGCCTGGCAGCCAGAAGAAGCTGGATTGGGCCAAGTTCTTCGTTTTGAAGCGGTTTAACAAGGGCCGCTTGGGACTGATCTTCTTGGCCCTGCTGGGGGTTGTGGCAGCAGTGGTGATAAAGGTGAGCTTTGGCTCTTTGCTCTCTACCCGAGTGCGTGTACAATTCATCTTATCTGCTGCCAGTTTTGCAATTGCAGTCCTTTCTTAGAGCCTGGCCTGTTTGTTTTTTTTTTTGTCCTGACACGATATCTGGCCTATCTGAAATTGCTAAAATCTGTTTTCACTCTTGCATATGATATCTAGAATAGGAATGTCCTTAGAGAAATTTCCTAGGTTTCTGTACTATTTCTTGCTCTGCCCTGAGTGGTGACACCTCTGAGAAACTCCCTGCAGAGGTACACAGAGTTTGGTGTATTTTGGACAGGTCTCTTAGGTGTGATTTCATTTTCAGGGCTTGCTTCAGCAGGGCAGTGCATAGGTGGGGCTGTGATATAAAGCTGAGGTCTGTGACAAGCTCTTGTTCATTGCCTGGTTGCAGCCCCTTTCTGACCTCAGCTCAGTTATTTATCTTTCCTCCCCTGTTTCCAGTTGGGTAACGAGGAAGGATTGGATGTCCTCACGTCTGTGCAGGAAGCAGAAGCCTGCTAGCAGCAGCTGGAGGACTCAGGATGCCTCCTGAGATGGAGCAATAAGATCTGAATCTCCAAGCTTGCCTCACATTGGTTCTCTGTGGCTGCAGACCAGGCGCTATGCGTGCCTGTGTGGCTGCTTCTCACAAAGCTTAGCTGAGCATCCTTCCTGGCACTGCCCTGGGGATTTAGTAGCCTTAAGGGAGCAGCCATTGCTCAAAAAGGAGCTGGCAGTTTGTTGTTCCGCGTTGTTACTGCTGTGAGGGGAGGTGCAGGAGCCCAACCAGCAGGAGGAAATCACCTGTCTCCACATTTGAGTGCAGGAGGAAGTGCAAGAGCCAACAACTGGCTCAGGCCTTGCAGTAACAGCCAGGGAAGCAAGCCCTGCCTAGGTGAATGACTTCTCAGTGAAGAGGGGGAACTCACAGCATCTTGAAATCATTTGGGTTTTCTCAGAGTCACCAGTCTGTGCTGAAGAGAAAAGCTCTCTTGATTGTGCTGGCTGTTCAGAGGCTGGGCTGGCTCAGTGGGTGTTAAGGAGCAGCAGGTTTCAGAGCTCTGCTGTTGCTGTTACAGTGAGGTAGGCATCTTTTTCTTTTCCTGTGTGCAGACCTGGTTTGAAATTGGGTGAAGCTTTGCTAGAGTAGTGAATGTGGGGCTTGGAGAGGTTCCCCCTGACACCAGAGAGCAATGCTTTCCCTGGCAGCACTCAGAGCTCGTTCAGTGTCCAAGATAACCAGCAGTGTGTGCATGCTGTGGGGACAGGAGGCGGGTGAGCTGGTGCCAGTGACACCCTGGGGAAGCAGAAGGGAAGGAAGGGGCTTTGCTTCATGCTGTTCTAAAAAGACAAATGGTTTTGTTTCAACAACTTTATCACAGGACGGTGGTGTTTTTTGCTTTCACAGATGGCTTACTAGTGAAGAGAGGAGAAGACACCGTAACCCATGTGCAAGATATTCTGAGTGCTCACTTTGAGTCTATTTCTTTAAGTCTTTTTTTTTTTTCTTTCCTTTTTGAGCTGGATTATTTCAGTGAGCTGTTGAGCACAAAGAGTAGCCCTGGGAAGGCACTAAACAGGGAGAAGCCTTGGACTCGTGTTTACTAAAAGGCTGTAATGAAAGAAAGGGACCTTTGGGTACAAGCTCTCAAAAGGAGAACAGAAGAGCAAGAGACACCAGTACCTACCACCAGCCCGTGCCATGCAGAGCACAGCTTCCAGGAACACGCACCCTGTGTCTTACACCAAACTGCTTCACTTCTTTCAGTGACAAACAGGAGCTCAAGTTTCAGCTGTCACTGGGCTGACGTTGTTTTCCCTGCGTTTTTTGGGATGGTTGCTCTTCTGTCGTGCTCCAAACAGCCACCCTCTTGGTGACAAGTCTGAGGCTGTGCTCCTGCTGTGCTCGCTGATGATTTGTGCCCATAGTGAAGGTTATGAATAAACCAAGCTTGCCTTCTAATTGAGGTGAAATATTCCCAGATCCCTATGAGCAAGAATCATCCATAGTCGGTCAGGTGATGCAGACTGCCACCCTTTTTGGGGCTCTGGTTTTCACCACGTGCCTCTTAACAATTATTTGACAATTAGAAGCTAACAAAGAAGATTATGCGCTGCTCATATTTTACTAATAAGAATATCTTATGCTTGTACAAAAAAAAAAAAAAAACAAAAAAAACAACTTCATGGCCTGTAGAGAGAAGTGGTAATCATGAAAAACCTGTTCCTGGTTGGAGTCTTTGAAGAGGAAACAATTACAGGAAGTGCGTGTACTCCTTTGTGTTTGAGCTTCTGGGTCTGCTATAATCTTGCACTGGGTTATAACAGGGGACCTGTTCTAGCTTGGGGAGACAATACTGGAGAAATTTAAGATGAAAGGACTTAGTAAATGTTGTTTAAATAAAATTTAAAGTGATGAAAGGAAGAGGAAGTAATTCTTAGAAAATTGTATTCGCTGTGCAGGAGGTGGGATTTCTTCATGTCTGGTGAAAATCCATACAATAACTATTTTTAATTATATATTTTGCAAGTACAAAATAAATGCTAAGAACTTAAATAATGAAGCAAGTGTGGTAAAGTCGCTGCAGTCTCCTGTGGAATCCTGCCTGTCCTCTGCCACTCCTGGTGCTGGCCAAACATTACAGACGTGTTGCAAGGTGTCAAGCTGATTAACAGACATGCCCCAGGACAGAAACACAGATCCTCAGTGCGGTGGTCTCCCTGCTCTTGGGGAACGATCAGTCTGACTGGCTGGACCATTTCTGCTCCTGCCCCGTGGAAATCCATCCATCCCGTGTCTCCCACCCGCAGGTGCCAGTTTGGGATTTGCTTTCACCTGGACGATAGCGCAGGCTCTGTGTTGTTGACTCCCGGCAGCTGCAGCAGCACACAAAAACATCCCCTGGCTTCATGCTCTGAATCAGAGCAAAGCCACGTGGTCTTGCAATCAGGCACAGGCCTCTGAGTCACTGCCCCAGCTGAAACGCTGCCATCGCAGCACCGCCAGTCCTCCTGGGACGAGCACGGCTGCTTGCGTGCCTCTTGATGGCAAACAACACGCAGCAGCGCGGCTGCGCCCTGTGCTGGAGAGGCCATCGAGGGTCCCTGCTGCCTGTCCCTGTGCTTCAGTGAACCCAAGTGACAAAAAGGAGCAGTGCTGCCTCCCGTGCAGAGCAACAAGCTGCGATTCAAGGCTTGTGTATTCGCAGCACGAGGATATATCTGGGTAAAGGGTGCCTTGTTATCTAAGCCCTGGGCCAGAGCCAGATATCCTGTCGTGGGAGGAGAGTGCTCCAGCTGTGTCAGGGGAAGGGCTTGTCCCTGTTCCTGCTTGCACTGGGAGACCAGCTGGGAGAGAAGCTGCTCTGAAGGTAACTTTCATTTTTCCCTTCCTTTTTTTTAATGAGTCATCTTCTTTCTTGGTTGGCCTTAGGTTGGTGTTGTGCAACGGTGGCAGAGAATGGGGAAGGGCAGATTGTAGTGGGTGCAAGAGAACCTTAGAACTTCATTTCATGAGGCAGGGATTGTAAGCAGAGTTCTTGTCCCAAATAAAGCCGAAACGCTGCCCTGGGAGGCAGGATGAAGCCTCCACGGTGTTTCCTAATGGTGGTGTCATGTGAGGGCTTCACAGTTGTGCCACAGCAGGCTGGTTGCTGGCACGCAGCTCAGTCTGCAGCTGCTGCCATGCAGGACACAGTGATCTCCACGTTACGGCTCCTTGGAGCACACCTGTGAGCAGAGGGGGGGGCAGCAGGTAATTTAGGTCAGGAAGAAGCAGCTGCAGGGAGATTCATCGCCTGTCCTTGGAGGCTGCTGTGAGAGGAGCCCTCAGACTGAAGAGGAGGGTGGGCTGCTCTGTGTGGCTGCCTCGGGAGCAGGGGGACACCCAACAAGGTGAGCACATCCCAGCCTGGCTCTGGGTGCAACATTTCTCAGTGGTGGCCCGGTGTTGAGCGTTCCCAGCACTGGAGAAGCCGCCTCTGCCTCCTGGCAGCTTGTGCAGTCTGCCCAGGGCCCTGCGGTGTGATGAGCTTATTGCTCTCCTCACAGCGCCCAGGGACATGGAGAGGATGCAGCAGATCCTCCTCACAGCGCCCAGGGACATGGAGAGGATGCAGCAGGTCGTGGGGAGGGCCAGGGCGGCCTTCAGCTCGGGACGGTGCCGCTCGCTGGAGTTCAGGCTGCAGCAGCTGAAGAACCTGGAGCGGATGGTGCGGGAGAAGGAGAAGGAGATCCTGGCGGCCCTGCAGTCGGATCTGCACAAGGTCTGTGCGCAGGGGCGGTTGGCAGCTGGGGGAAAAGCAGCAACCCATGGGGCTGCCTTTGCCCTGCCGGGTTTCTCCTGATGTCCCACATGGTCCTGGATGAGCTTGGTGGTCTCTCCTGGCTGCTATTGTGGGTCCAGGAGATGGTTCCCCATTGTCAGCACCCTCAGTGAGCTGCCTGTCATTGCAGTGTGGGCACAACGCGTACAGCCACGAGATCCTGGGCGTGCTGGTGGAGCTGGCCCTGGTCATGGAGAAGCTGCCATCCTGGGCAGCCCCTCAGCCGGTGAAGAAGAACCTGCTGACGATGCGGGATGAGGCGTACATCTACCCCGAGCCACTGGGGGTGGTGCTGGTGGTTGGGGCCTGGAATTACCCCTTCGCCCTGATTGTGCAGCCGCTGATCGGGGCCATCGCAGCAGGTGGGGACCCACGTGTGGCCCAGGTCCCCTGTGGGGTCTGTGTGGGGGGCTGTGGGAGGTGAGAGGAGCACGAGGGTTGAGTGGCCGCACTGGGTTTGTGTCCTAGGCAATGCGGTGGTGGTGAAGCCGTCAGAGGTCAGTGAGCACACGTCCCAGCTGATTGCTGATATCCTCCCTCAGTACCTGGACCAGGTGAGTGTGGCTCTGTGCCTGATGTTGGGACTGTCCTGAGGAAACACCTGCCTTGCTTTCAAAGGGCCCAGCGTGTTAAAGGTGAATCATTTGCCTGCTATCTCCTAAAGGGCATTAAGTGAGAGATATGGGAAGGGTTGAATTACTCCTAGAGTACAGAGACGCACTGATATGTTCTTCCTGCTTTCATGTAGCCTATTGGGCCTACATAGTGTCCCTGTCTTTTTGATGTTCATCACAGCATAAAGGCTTGTGCAGGTATTTCTCACTGCAATACCTGCTGTATGGGGTGCTGGTCTGTAGGTAAGCACAATTTTGTGCCAGATGCTGGCTGTGCCTGGCTCTTCCTGAGCCAGTTTGGGGCTGGCTTGCTTGGTGGCTGTCAAACTTCACTTTTCACATCCTGCCGTGCTTACAGCATGGGGCTTTGTTTCTTCTCCACTTGTCTGACATCAGTTGCGCTGTTCCAGTGAGGCTGTTCCACCTACAGCACAGGTTTGCTGTGCAGTTTAATCTCAGGAGCTAACGCGTTCTCTAGGTGGGGAAGGAGAGCTGAGGAAGAGGAGAGCCTGGTGGTCACCTGTGTAGGCTTCAAAGCGTGGAATCAGCTCCACAGCCGGACTCAGCCCTGGCCTCCAACTCTGTTTCTTCCTAATTTGCATGGGGCAGTGCAATCAGTGGAGTTTCATGTCATGGGCAGTGTAGCTCACAAGCAGGTCTGCCTCATGGAGAGCTGCTCTCTGGATGTACTTGCTTTGAGACAGGGTCGGTGTGAGTGTCTCTTGTCCCTGCAGGAGCTGTACCCGGTGGTCACAGGAGGAGTGCCTGAGACAACGGAGCTGCTGAAGCAGAGATTCGACCACATCCTGTACACCGGGAACACCGCCGTGGGCAAAATCGTGATGGCAGCGGCTGCCAAGCACCTGACGCCCGTCACCCTGGAGCTGGGTGGGAAGAGCCCCTGCTACATCGACAAGGACTGCGACCTGGCCGTCGCCTGCAGGTCGGGTTGTCATGGGCCCAGGGCAGGGGCTAAACATTGGGGCTGGGGCAGGTGAATGTGTCTGGGCCGCTACGGGCTCATAGGTGACGGTGGGGTGGCAGTGGGGACTGGAGGGGGCTGAGTGTCCCTGTTGCTGCAGGCGGATAACGTGGGGGAAGTACATGAACTGTGGGCAAACCTGCATTGCCCCGGACTACATCCTGTGCGAGCCGTCCATCCAGAGCCAGGTGGTGGAGAACATTAAGGCGACTCTGCAGGTGAGTGCGGAGGCTCTCGTGCTGTGGCCGCTGTCACCTCAGAGGTGTCAGTTTGTGACACGGAGGCCCCGGAGCCGTGGCCGTGCTGCGGGTGAGTGAAGGGCTTTGGTTCTGCTCTGCCCTTTGCCAGGAGTTCTACGGGGAAGATGTGAAGAAGTCTCCGGATTACGAGAGGATCGTCAACAAGCGCCACTTCAGGAGGATCGTGAGCCTGCTGGAAGGCCAGAAGATCGCGCACGGGGGAGAGACGGATGAGGCCTCCTGCTTCATAGGTAGCTGTGGCGCGTGGTGGGCAGAGGCCGTGTGGCGGGCCCCATCTGTTGTGCTGCTGACCTCATGCCCTGTGTGCCCTCCCGCTTGCCTCAGCACCCACCATCCTGACGGACGTTTCTGCGGAGTCCAAGGTGATGGAGGAGGAGATCTTTGGGCCGGTGCTTCCGATTGTGTCAGTGAAGGGCGTGGACGAAGCCATTGAGTTCATCAACAGTCGAGAGAAGCCCCTTGCCCTCTACGTCTTCTCCAACGACAAGAAGGTGGGTCAGGGCTCTGTGTGGCTCGATGCTGGGTGCAGCCGTCCCAGGCCCAGCTCGGTGCTGGGCCCTGTTGGCTGCTGTTTGTGGGTGGATTGCAGCTTTTGTGTCCTGTGGGTCAGACACATCCCCAAAGTTGCCAGAGCCCCCCAGGCACATGCTCGAAGGGCCCTGGTCTTGTTCCTTTCCCCATGTCTCGGCTGGGTGCTGCTTCCTCATAAGTCCCCTGGCCCCATTTAGGATCAGGTGATGGTTCAGGAATTCAGGTCAGGGATCGGCACTGGCACAACACCACCACACAGCATGTGGGAGGGCTGAGCTGTGCCCAGGCTCAGGTGTCTGCACCAGAGCCTTCCCTCTCTGTTTTGTTAGTACAACTGTTGCTGATCTGATGCTTAGGTAATGTAAAACTGAGTCAACGACACGTAGGGTTCCCTGATTGTACATCTTGTACCCTGGGTGTATCCTTTTGTTAAGGGCACCCTTAACAAAACCTTTTGGGTCTGGGTGTGTGTTCAGTGTCCGTGTTTGCCTCTGCTTCAGTGAGCTCCTTCGCTTTCCACCAGCCTTGACCCAGGCGATGTTTTGGGCTGCTCCCGCAGCTGCAGAAGGCCACCACACGTGGCCATGTCTTTAAGTGTCATCTGACAGAGATGTCCCACCAAGGCCTGCCCTGAGCCATGTCACCCACAGAGCGTTTCCTGTAGCCACGGGGATGGTGGCCTTCCTTGATTTTCCTCTGTTTTGTGCCATCTCTCATTTTGGTTTAGCTGATCAAAAGGGTGATATCGGAGACCTCTAGCGGCGGTATGACTGCCAACGACGTCCTCATGCACTCCACGGTCCTGGATCTGCCTTTTGGTGGTGTGGGTGAGCCCCCGTTACCCATACTTGATTTTTGTGCCCCAGCAGCAGCGTCTGATCCTGGTTCTGTCATCCCCATTTGTCAATTTAGTATCTTTCATCTGCATTTCTCCATTAAATATATTTTCAGAGTGGGTACCTTTTGTGAAATGGCTTATTAGCGGTTGGAGTAGCATTGGTGCTGGCCCTGAGAGGAAAACTCTGGCACATCTGTGCAGCTCCAGTTCCCCCATGTAGGATGCAGTTGCCCAGGGATGAGCAGCTGGTTGAACCTCCATGGCTTTGTGGCAGAGACAGCCTGGCTATGGGTAGTGGGCTGAGCTCTTGGCTGTTTCTGACAGCCGGTTGCTGTGTGTCCTCTTTACATTCCTCTGTGTGAAAAAACAGCCCCTGTCCCTGCCCTCCCGCACCCCAGCATTGGTTCAGTGGGAAAAGCAGGACTTGCCCTTGGGAGGAGAGAGCTGGTGCCCTTGTAATTTCAAGGGTGGGTGGACAGAGCCAGCCTGAGCTGCAGCAGCAGTTCAAGACAGCAAGTTGTCCTCGCTTATTTCTGGTGGGTTGTTAGAGCTCCTTGTTGCTTCTAAGCCCTGGGGGAGTACAGCTGCTGTTCTCAAGTGTGAGAAGCACAGTGAGCAAGCTTTCCCTGTGTCCTTGGGGCTGCAACACAGCAGTTAAGAAATGCGGCTGTCATAATGAGTGAGAGGCTTGGCCTGCCAAGCCTGTGGTGTGACCTGGCCGGGTTGTGTGTCCCAGGGAACAGCGGGATGGGCGCCTACCACGGCAAGCACAGCTTTGAGACCTTCTCCCACCACCGCGCCTGCTTGATCAAGGACCTGAAGATGGAGGGCATGAACAAACTCCGGTACCCACCTGGCAGCCAGAAGAAGCTGGATTGGGCCAAGTTCTTCATTTTGAAGCGGTTTGACAAGGTCCGCTATGGACTGATCTTCTTGGCCCTGCTGGGGGTTGTGGCAGCCGTGATGATAAAGGTGAGCTTTGGCTCTTTGCTCTCTACCTGAGTGTGTTCCCAGCTGCATTCCCTGAGCCTCACCACGTCCCATCCTCCATCCACCATTGCCTCAGATCTCCCTGATGGCCCCCCAGGGCTCTGTTCCTTCTCTGTGAGACTCAGCCACGTTTCTGTGCCCCTTTAGGTGATGTTCCCGTGACGAAGGGTGCTCTATACTCAGCTGCACATTGGGCTTGTAACTCATCATTCTCATCCTGCATTCCTATTCTTGCTGCAACTTCTTCTCTTCCAAGGCATCTGACCCACTAATGAGGCAGAAGCAAATGAACCCCAGGTAATGCAGAGGTAATCGGTCCGCTGGACTGATGCAGTCTGAAGCCATGGGTCCTGCCTCAGCAGTGCAGGTGGAAGGAGGCAGTGTCTCTGTCCTGCTCTCCAAACAGGAGCCCATGGAAAAGCTCTTGGGCGCGGGGGGATCATGCCACAAGCACATCAAAGGAAAGCCACGTGTTACTGGGCCCGTTAGCTATGTAACGTGTCTCCTGTGATCCCTTTATAAAGCTGTCTCACAGCAGCAAGAAGCCTGACAAAATGAGTGTGACGGATGGGGACCGCAGGAGCGCCAGGGACACGGCACTGTTGGTGTGCAGCATCTGGAGCTGGGCACCAGCAAGGGGGAGCTGCAGTGACCCAGCTCTGAGGAAGAGCCTGAGCAGCTGGTGACCTTGTGCATAATTTCATTTCGTTTTTTTGGTGTACTGGTAGTCTTTTACCTCTGAGACTGTAACTGGAAGCCTGACCCTTGCTGAATAAAACCCTTGCTTTACCATGAAAGCCACGTGGGGCCTGGGACTACGAGGGGCAGGGCAGCAGGTGCCAGGCACAGGACCCAAAGGAGCCAGCCTGAGCCCAGCTGGGTTTATTCTTTATTTGGCATTTTTCAGAGCAGCAGCGTGAGCCGGGCTGTGCAGCTCTGGTCAGCAGGCAGCAGTTGGCAGCGTGGGCAGGGAAAGGGCTACCCGCATGCTCGGTGCGTGTCGGGCAGCCCAGAGCAACATTTTGGGTGTTGGAGCAGCTGTAGGGCCTGGCCCCAAGCAGGATCTGATGAGATGCTGCCAAAGGCTGAACGCATCTGCTCTGATGGGACACGCGGGTGCTGGATCCTTTTGCTGGCTGGTCTGTGCTTTGTGCATCCGTCAGTCAGGAGGGGCCTCCGTCCCCAAAGTCCCTGGAGTCCCAGGTGCAAGTCAGTGGTTGCTGGTCATGACCTTTATTACGATGCCAAGCGCAAGCACGGTGATGGCTGCAGCCACTGCCAGCCCGCGCCGGACGATTAGCTCCTTGGTGGACATGGTGCTGCCCGGTGGCTCTCCCTGGGGCTCCGGCTGGAAGGTGGCTCCCTCCAGCCTGGTGATGGCTGTGAGCACCACGCCGTTCTGCGCTTCCACCCCCGCTGCAACAAGAAGGGGATGGGGTCAGCGAGGGCTTCTGGGCTTTGAGGGTTTTGCCTGAGGTCTGACAGTGTTATATGAGCACCGCAGGCACGCGGACAGCCCCAGCCCTCAGCCGTACCTACGCAGCCCCGCACTGCAGCGGCTGGGAGGTGAGCGTGGGGCGGTGGGGTTGGTCCTGTACCGGAGGGCAGCGCCTTGCTGGGGGGTTCGGGGCCTGGGTGTGGCTCCTCTGGTGGCAGCGGGGTCACTCCTGCACGGTGCTGAGCCTAAGGGAACAGCCAAGTGCAGGGAAGTGGCCGTGGTCCCAGATGCAGAACCCTGGGTTTTGTTATCCCAGCCCGCTGCGATCACAGCGAGGCTGCTGGGGACCATCCGGCGGGGTGGGCATGCTGCTGTGGTGTGCGGTTACCTCCTCGGCAGCCTTCCTCCAGTCCATGCGGGAGATGTAGACGATGAAGCAGGTGCAGAGCATGGAGACGCAGACCAGCATGCTGAGCCACAGCCCTGCCGAGGGCACACCGGTGTCAGCCGGGCACCACCGCCGGGCAAACCCAACGGGGACATCACTGAGGTCAGCAGGGGCATCGGGATGGGGCTGCCCAGCAGAAATGCTTTTCCCCAGTGTGATTTAGGGCTCCCAGCAGTTACAGGGACCATCCCAGTCCACCCCAGTGTGCCCTGCAGAGCCAGGCAGGGGTCATATCATAGCAAGCCGTTGGTGGTGCAGGGGGAGCCACATCCATCCAAGAGGAGAGGAGAGGATTTTGGGGGTGCAGAGCTTCCCACCCCAGGGGTTTGTACCTATGACACCAATCCTGGCCACGAAGAGCAGCACGACTGCCAGGGGCAGGCCCACACCGTAGTAGCTCACGGCGTTGAGGATGGCGCCGAATTTCTGCTTGCCTATGCCTCTGAGCACCCCACTGCAGGCACCCTGTGGGGAGAGGGAGTGGGGCTGGGGCCTTGTGGTGCACTTGGCGCTGAATTTGGGGCTGTGCTGCTGCCCCAGCATGCTGGACAGACCCTGAGGACAAGGTTTCCCCTGCCTCTGATGGTTATTTCTGTGTCCCTGCCCTGTCCTGAGGGCTGGCATCTTTACATGAGCTTGGGGTTTTCTGATGGGTACTCCCAGGTAGTTGATTCCCAACTCCGAGGTCCCCTAGTGACAATAGCAGTGTCCCCGGGGACTTACACACATGGCTTCAAACAAATGGAAGACGACGTAGACAGGCAGGACCCAGGCCACCAAGTCAACAATCTCCCTGGGGACAGAGAAGAGCCAGTGGTCACGTTTAGGAACAAACATCCGTGCGCCAGGGCCAGGAGCTGGGGACACTCACTTGTCGCTGGTAAAGATATATCCCAGCACGTCCTTTGAGGCAGCTAAAATAGCCCCCATGGCTACGCAAAAGAACCCTGGAAAACAGAACCAAGAGCTGGGAGCATCCTGACAGCAATGGGGAGCACGGAGCAGGTGGAGGGAAAGATCAGGGGATGACACCACCACCAGCCCTGACCTGTGCAGAGCAGGCTGGTGGACGAGGCCCTCTTGGACGTCTCGACGTCGCCGGCGCCCAGCGCGTTCCCCACCTGCACGCTGGCAGCCGTGCCGAGCCCCAGGGGGATCTGCAACCACAGGGTTTTGGCCAGGTAATGGGGCCAACACAGCGACAGCAGCAGCAGCAAGGGGGGACGGAGAGCAGGGTTTAATTTAGGATGTCTCCGTGGGAGGGGAAGGCAGGAGCAAGGAGAGAGTATGGAGGGGGGAGATGTGGAGAGCGGAGTTGGCCGGAGCTGATTTTGGCTGTGAGTCCATGCTGGGATTGCCCTTAGGGAGCCTGGTCTGGACTAAAACCCCCAGCCCTTACCATGAAGGCGACAACGGACACCTCATAGATGATGGACTGCGCCGAGAGCTCCACCACGCTCAGCAGCCCTGGGGGCAGGAGGGCTCAGCACCAGGTTCAGGCACCCCCAAAAGTGCTGCCTCAGCCCCCGCGCTGCCTGTGGTGCCCCATCGCACCCTGGCAGCCCCCCTCCCCGCTGACCTATCAAGAAACTCCCGATTTCGTAGGTCCACCACTCGATGCACATCATGAGCATGCTGGGGATGGCCAAGGAGGTGAAGCTGTCCCACTCCAGCAGGCACTCGCTGGACCAGCCTGCAGAGCAGAGACACCCGATGGAGACCAGAGTGGCAAAGAGTCACCTCCAAGGGTGCCCGAGGCAGCCGGACACACCACTCGCACCAGCACCCATTTGCAGATCCTCAGCACAACACCCGTGGGCTTCATGGCACCTCCAGCAACAGAGCAGGCACTCAGGAGCTCTGCTGATGGAGCAGAGCGGTGCAAGGCTCAGCTCAGCCCTCCTGGAGCAGAGCATCTGAGGACAGCTTTGTGCCTAGGTCTGTGCTCATCCGGATTTGGGGCTGAACCCTCAACACCTCGGCAGGAGGTTTCCTTCCTCCAGAATTAATGATTACTGCATGGTGCCCTGCCAGCGCTCACATGACGAGCTGCCACCGAAGCGGCGCTGCGTTCCTGGGCTGGGGTTAATGTTTCCCCTCCAGGACTACCAGCAGTCACTCAAAAGAGGTGCTGGAAGATTTAGGAATCGTGTTCATATAAAGCAGGAACTGGTCAGTGATGCCTTACCTCCCCACGTCTTCACGTGGAGCTTCTTGCCTACAATATACAGGAACAAGAAAATGGTTTGAGAATACTGAGCAACAGTGTTGGCCCAGGCAGAGCCCCTGGAAAGGAAACGAGAGCGGTCGTTGGCATCACACTCACACCTCCCCGGGAGCAGGGTGCTGGAACCTGGCGTCCCACCGTGCCCCATGAGCAGAAGCTGCAGCTGGTGGTGCTGATTTCCCCACAAAATCACTTTTTTTTGTGTCCTTTTTACCCCTAGGGGCACTACTCACGAGATTCCCAGGTGGAACACGTAGAGGAAGATGCAGTTGGCGATCACGTTGACGATGTTGCCGACGATCCCGCTCAGCACCAGGGGCCACATGATCATCTGCAAGCAGGAGGGGACAGGGCTGCAGCAGCTGCGGGGACACCCTCGCCAGCCCCAGTCCCTCAGCTTTCACAGCCAGAAAGGAAACTTCTGATGTCTCTCCAGCTCCCTAAATGAGAGCTTTGAAGGTAAAATCTCAACGTGGGGACGTGGGAAGGGATGCTCATCAGGCAGAGGAATGCAGTTTTCTGTGTGATGGAGTGATCTCCAGGGCAGAGCTGCTCCGTGGTGCCTTGGACAAATGCTGCCTTGCCATGGGGAGTGGCGTGGATGAAAATCCACGTGTGGTTGAGGGGATCCCTGAGCCAGGAGGATCCTCCATGGGCTCGTGGCTGTGGGACCCACCTGGTTCTGCAGGTACCTTGTCTCCAGGTTGTACAGAAAAACCGCCTGGAAAGCAAAGGGGGGGGGGGCGTGAGCCAGGGCTGGTTCTGAGCATGGGATGGGGTACAGTGGCGGAAAACGTGCGGCCAGCACCCAGGACTTACCGGGAGAGCGGGGACAAACGCCATCACGTAGAGCTGGGTTAACCTGGGGGGGCACAAGAGCCACGGTCAGCGAGGAACCATGGCCACCATCCCCCTGTCATGCTGGGGAGGGACAAAGCAGGGTCCCCTGGAGGCCACCTGACCTGGAGACCTCGGGGTCCTGGTGGAGGAGGAGCAGAAGCTGCTCGATGTTGATGAGGATGGCGCAGCAGGGGAAGCAGCAGAGCAGGAGGATGAGGATGGCACGCTGCAGGATCACCCCCACGCGCAGCAGGTTCTTGCTGCCATAAGTCTGCAGGAGAGAGGACGGCAGTGAGCGCTGGGAAGGACTGGGAATTTCCTTGGGAGCTCAGCACTCCCTCTTATGGGCTGGCTGCTGGGGCTCTGCAGTGCCTGGTGATGCCAGAAACCCCGTGTCTTTAGGGCAAGCGGCAGCGTTACCCACCTGTGATATCAAGGTGTCACATGCTGAAGACAAACCGTATCCTACAGAGATGGCAGTAACATTTATAACCTGAAAAAGGGAATAAAAAATGAGAATGGGGAGTATTTAAGGCTTTCTAGTAGGGAAAGAGGGAGAGCAGTTAAAAGGAAAGAGAGAAGTCTGAAGTCTCCTCTGTCCCTACAGGTCACAGGCAGCCCCAGCTCCGTCCCCATATCCCACCCCAGCATCAGTGGGGTCAGGGCTGGTACCCAGCTCCTGGGCAGCCCTGCAGCGTTCTTACCGCGATGGCCAGCGTGACGGAGGCCAGCTCGACCTTGCCCAGGTGGCCGCAGAATATGGAGCTGACGAGGTGTATCAGGAAAATCATCAGCTGGATCAGGATCTGAGCGCAGAGAGAAGAGGCGGAGGTGAGCAGGGGTGGCTCTGCGGGGGACACCTCGGGGCGAGGGGACAGGAGGACAGCGTATTTAGCAGCCCTCGGGGTCCATCTCATCCAGGAGCTGCTGGAAGGCTCCGCTAGCTGAGTTCCCTGCTCCTCGTTGTGTCAGGCTGTGGTCAGTGCAGCCCCGGTGCTCGCCTCCCGGGGTCCTTACCAGCGGCCCTGCCAGTATCAGCAGCTTCTTTGCGTCCTCCCAGAAGTTGTCCGGTATCAGGCGCTGAAGCCAGCGGCGTTTCTTCCCGCAGCCCCCGGCCGGGAGCTCATGCTGCCCGGTGGCTATGGGCTCGCTGAAGCCGTTCTCCTCCGGGAGGCTCGCCCGCTTCATGCTGCCGCTCTGCCAGGGAGTGAAACGACCCCTTCCTCCGCGCTCTGTTAACGCCGCCGGGTGCTGCGGCTCCTCCAGGGTGAGCAATGTGTAACCCAGGGCGTGAACTTCAGCCAGGCGAGCTGGCTGCGTGTGCCCTGAGGCTGGCAGCGATGGGGAGCAGGGGAAGGGGCAAGGCACGGGGCTGTGAGCAGCACGGAGCCTGCGTCCCACTGCGAGCAGTGCGGAGGAGCCCAGGCGTGCAGTGCAAGGTGCTCGCTGCCTGCCCCAAGCTGGTGTGGGGACTCAGACTTCCCAAATCGCCCCCGTGAGCACTCATACCCTGCTCCTGCTCTGCTGTGGCTCCGCTGGCTGGTGAGCAAGACGGTCGTCCTCCTCTTCCAGCGGAGATGGAGGGTTCATGGGTCCGTCCGCTGTCAGGTCCTGACTCCGAGTGCTTCACCAGCAGTTGCTGGGCCCCTCTCATCCCAGCGGAGGTGGCCAAGACAAGCCGGCCCCATTGGCTCCAGCTGTCAGCCTCGCACAGCACAGCAGCGTCAGATTTCACCGTCACCACTCCGCCAGGCCAAATATAGCATCCTGCCTTGGCCTGGCGCAGGGAGCTGGGGGGGCTCAGAAGCTGTCACTGTGTGTGCAGACCCTCTCTGGGACAGAGAGGCTGGGGGCTCCATGCCCATGAGGCAGAGCTAGGGACTGTCCCGCTCTCCTGGGTTGTGCTGCCAGAACTATGAGCAGGGCCCAGCCTGCTGCAACCTGCAACACCTGGGCACAGCAGGACTGTGGTTACCACCTGCTCTGGCCTCCTGCCTGACCCCTTCTCTCCATCCAGAGGCACCCAGTGCAGCCCGACGGGTGATGCCGTCCTGCACTGCGGTATTCATCTCTGAGCACCGGCTGTACTGCAGAACTCACAGCATCGCTGCTCCATGCAGCTCCAGGTAAGAGCAGGAACGTGGGACAGGACTTGGTGTAAATGTCAGGGGGCTGGCAGTGCATGAGGACCCTGTGGCCAGAGTCAGCTTCAACACCCAGGACCAGGAGTTTGAGGGTGCTTTTAAGGCTGTTCTCATGAAAACTGGTCATTCAGTACCACCTCGACCTGTGTCTCTGTGCTGATAGCTTGGATGTGCTAGTGACCCACCCAGGTCATGTTCATACCACATTAACAGCAAAACGTTTATTCAGAAAACTTTATTATATTAAAAGCCCACATTACAAAAGTGCAAGGAGCTGATTTAGGCCCTGTGCCTGTCACATACCCGGTAGAGCAAACTCAGAGACCTGGCAGAGAGGTCAGCCCTTTTCCACCACAATTGGCCTTACACAGCACTGCTGCAGCAACAGACTGGGCTCTGATGCACCGAGATCCGGGCACAGGTTGGTGGGTGAGGGATGGTGCTGTGCAGGCAGCACAAGCCTCTGCCATTAGTAAATGCCGAGGACAAATGCTCCCAGCAAGGAGGAAGCAGCACGAGGTTCCTGTCTCTATCCCTGGCCAGCCTCCTCCAAGTGACATCCCCTAGGCAGTGCTGGAGCAGCTCTGAAGCACCTCCAGCCCAGGCACTGCACACTCCCCTCCTTTAAGAGCTACGGATGTAGCATAAGACAGTTTCAGTTAACCAGCCATGGAGCAAAGTGTCTCTAACCAGGTGCTGAGGGGGAATCCCTTCCCACACCGTCCCCCTGGGACATTCCCACCTGCCCTCCTGCACATGCAGCCAGTTTCTCCGTGGCACACTGGTGCTGCCTCTAGCTGTTAGTGGTCAGGAGCCGCACCAGCACGCCCGCCAGCAGCACAGCGAGGGCAGCAGCAGCAGCCAGCACCCGGCGGATGATCAGGGCCCTCCACGCCACAGGAGGAGGAGTAGGGATGGCCACAGGTTCTTCTTGTGTGATGAGCTCGTTGTCAGGGTGCCTCTCGCCTCCCACCATGCTTTCAGGCAGTACCACAGTGTCTACAGTGTCTGTGTCCACGGAGATGTAATCTGTGCAAGAGAGGTAAGTGTGGCAGGGAAGCCAAGCTGCAAAATCAGCTCCCAGTGTGAAGCTGCAAGCACCAGTGACAGTCCTGAGAGTCCTCCCTCAAGGCTCATGGACACTGGGACATGCAGCAGCACAGGGACAGGTGTGCTCTGGTTCTTCCCTGGAGCAGACGGGGTGGTGACAAAGGTAATGGGGACCAGCGCCAGATACTGTGCTCTCTCCAGCCATAGGGGCTGACAGGAGAGACACCACTGGCATGACCCTGAAGGAGACGAAGGGATGGGTGGAGAATTGGGGCTCCCTCCCTGTTGTCAGGCCTGGTTACATACCCACAGCAGATGTTTTGTTAGCAGCTGTGCCATTGGAGTTCACATCTTCTAGCTGTTTCTTCAGTCCAGCTCGGATCTGAGCCTAAAAACACGTTGAAGAGTTGTTGTTCTCAGAGCAGAGATGTGCTGCCCAGCCAAGCAAACCTGAGCCTCCTTCCTCCACCCTCCCAAAGAAACCATGCTCAGCAGCGAACTACTCCTGTGCTACAGCAGTGACAGATCCTGTATCACTTTGCTCCCCCCCAGACAGCTGTACCATACCGGGGCAGGAGCCAGCCTAACACCTTTGAACAGTTGCTGCAGGAAAGCACCAGTCTCACCTCTTCTGCAGCTTTCTTCCAATCCATGCGCATGACGAACGCTGAGAAGGAGAGGGATTGCAAGGAGATGCAAACGATCATCCCCACCCATAGCCCTGCAAGAAGGGAAAGGTATTTTAGCAAGGGCTTGAGGAAACCCAGCTTTTGCCGATCACTGCTAAAACGCTCTAGGATTTCAGTGGGGTGAGATCATCATCCCAGGAGAACAGAGCTGCCCTGAGAGGTGGTGAGAAGGAGCACTGCCTGGGCAGGTCCCGTGCTGGGAGCAAGCTCTGATTTCCCCCCATTTGCTAGAGACAGCACAGAGCCTGCCTCAGCAAAACACGTCAGTGTGTACTGACCCACCGACCCGAGGGAGGCTCTCAAGTCCCAGGGCTGAACCTTTGCCCAGGGTGCAGGGTTTGGCCCAGCAGCTCCTACCCGGCCAGGCTCCCGCTGCCAGATGCAGGATGCACCTACCTAACACCCCCATCTTAGCCGCAAACATCAGCGAGATGCCGATGGGCATGCCGATGGCATAATAGCCGACAGCATTGGCGATGGCACCCAGCTTCTGCTTCCCTGTGCCTCTCAGCACACCGCCGCAGGTCGCCTAAGGAAAGCAGGCAGAGGGTGAACACGTGTCATAGCTGGTACCACCACAGGGCAGCTGGGGTTTTAGCACAGCCCTGCAAAAACGGGAGCCCCATGAACCGTCCCACAGAGCCCAGAGGGACCAAAACCAGGTCACAGACAGCATGGTGCAAGTTTCCTCTCCTCCCGGCTGCTGAGCCAGGCACAGAGCACGGAGCCATCTGCAGGCACCGAGGGGCGAGCAGCAGACTTCATCGTGCTGTCCACACTGCCTACATCTCCCTCCCAGGGACATGACAGAAGAAAGCAGACTGGCATTGCTGTCTAATGAGTTGTATGAGGACTGCCACTGTGCTGTGAGAGCTGGATCTTCAGAGATGTCAGAAGTTTGCTTGTTTTGCTCTGAAAACTAGTAAAAAGCTGAAGCCTTGACGGGAGGAAAAGAGGAAGAACAGTTCTGCAGCAATGCCAGTGGGCATCTGCAAGCACAAGGGACACTGAGATGCTACAGCTAATGCAAGTAGCTGCTGTGACAGTTTTTCAGTTTGCTTCTCTGTATCACTTTAACAGATCAAGAGAGAGCTGAAATCAGCTTTGCAGTCTCCACTGCACCCCAATCTACACAGAGAGATCACTCTATGTGCTGGAATACTCACTGCTGCTGCATCAAACAAGTGGAATGGAGCAAAGATGATCATCACTTTGGACACCAAGGTAACGATTTCCCTGTGAAGAAGATGTATGTGCTGATCAGGGGAAGCAGCATGGTCTGGTCTCGAGACATTCTGGTTCTGACACATCTCCTGGCCAGCTGTGATGCTTGCTCCCAGCCCACAAGACTTGTGGGGAGTGCACACAGCTTGGGTATGGTATTGTCCCACCCTCAGCAGCATCCACGCTGCCCACTGACACCTGGTGGTGGGGAGGAACCTTTGGGGAACACACTTGCCAGATGGGCATTTATGAACTCTATCCCTCAGGTCCCTCCGAGCTGCTTCTGGGGCACATTGCATTCTCTGGAAAGTTATCAGTACTCAAAAGAAAGCTGTTAACTCACTTGTCATTGGTAAAGATGTAGCCCACCACGTCCTTTAGGGTTCCCAGTAATGTTGCAACCACCACAGCAAGAACTTCTGCAAGGAAAAGAAATAATCAAACAGCTTGCCTCAAAGGCAGCATGTCCTGCTCCTGGTCAGGCCCAGACCTTGGGGGCTTCATGTGATAGGAACCAGGCTTGGCTGACCTCCAGCTGTCACTGCAGTAGAGGACAAGTCTGTTTTCCCCATTTTCTGCCCAGATGCTCCATCCACCTTCTGGAGGCGGAAAACAGAATGCTAAATTGCATTTTTTCCACTATTGGAGCCTTTGCGCCCGGTTCCTAACAGAGCAGAAGAGCCAGGGTCTCACCCTGCCCAAACAAGTGGGTTGGGGTTGCTGGTGGGGTGTCCCCAGCCCTGTGAGAGGTGAACTGAACCCAGTGCTGATATCTGTCTTTTATTCCCCTCTGCAGGGGCTTAGGCTGACCTGTGCACAGCAGGGCAGTGATGCAGGAGGTCTTGGCTTGCATTACATCCCCTGATCCCAAGGCATTGCCCACTCTGACACTCGCAGCCACGCTGAAGCCCAGAGGCACCTGAGTATCAGGAGACAAAGAGGAGGTGAGTGGCAATTAAAGCCTGCACCAAATTTTCTTCTTCCCAGTAGGAAATCTGGGACAAAGTGCTAACACCCACCCCCACACTGCTCCCTGCCCAATGTGCAGAGTTTTTTGGGAAGCATCAGAGCAGACTGGAATTGCAACAGACCCCCTACCCAGTCACTTTGGTGAAGCAGTCACACACACACACACACACACACACTCACAGTGATGCCAATATGAGCAGACTTTGGATATTCTCTGAGCAGAGACTGGCAAATGCAGTAAAGGGATTTTTCATCTCCAGCACAGCCCTGGTTGGCAGCTACACGGTAGGCTTGAGAGTTATCACCTGCCTGGTACTGACTCCTGCTTCCTGCCATGCTTCCCTCCCCAGCCTTGGTCTGCAGCACCATTGTCTGGGGGATCCTCCCAGGCTGATCCCAGTTTAACGCACCCAGCCCTTACCATGTAAGCTGCAGAGGAGAGCTCGTAGATAACCGACTGCGCGCCCAGCTCCACCACACTGAGCAGTCCTGGAAAAGATTCAGCACGTCCTTCATTAGGTCAGAGTTACAACTCCTCGTTAACTGACAAGGAGGCAGTGACTACATGGTTCCCATCTCACAGATGCAGCATCCTACAGAATCAGCCCTGGAGACAAGGACACTGCTGGCAGGAGATGCTGAGGGACACACTCAAGAGGTGGCCACCAGAGCAGGCATGGCTGCACCAAACGACAAGGATTGGGACTCACCTGCCAAGAAGCTCCCGATCTCAAAGGTCCACCACTCAATGCACATCATGAGCATGCTGGGCACCGCCAGCTGGATGAAGGAGCCCCAGTCCAGGAGGCAGTCCCTGGTCCAACCTGCAAGGTAGGAGTGAAGCAGCGTGAGTGTATTCCCCAAAGGGAGCCACACACTTTTCTGGACGCTGCAGGACAGCATCCCAGCCACGGCTCCCAGCACATCAGCTCAGTCTTGCTGTACTGCCGTGCATCCCTGAGGTAGGGTGATCAAGAATTAACCCGGGTCCCCAGAAAGGCCGTGGGATCATGTCTACAGCCTCGCCTCACGGTGAGGGGATGGTAATTCCTTTGTTGGACCTACACCTCAGGTGCTGGTGACTGTGCCAAATCCCCAGGGCCAGACACTGGTATTTTGAAGGGCCAACCCACAAACAGTACCTCCCCAGGTCTCCACATGGATCTTCTTCCACCGCACATAAAGGAAGAGGAGAATGGCCTGGGTGTACTGAGAAACAGTGTTGGCCCAGGCCGAGCCCCTGAGGAGAGAAACAGGCAGATTACAAACACCACCCTCACCCACTCCTCAGCTCCAGCAGGGGACCTGGTGCCACCCACGTAAGTCTCAAGCAAATCACCCCCAGCCTTATCTTTCCAAGCTGGTTAGCTGGGGGCAGAGTGCTACAGAACTGGGCACTCAAAACAAACCCCTACAGCCCTGAGCACACCCCTGCACCCCGGGAGGGGCTGTCACCACCTCTGCTCACACTTACACTATGCCCAGCTTCAGTGCATACAGGAAGAAGGCGTTCATGGCCACATTGAGGATGTTGGCTGCAATTCCTGTCACCACCTGAGGTAAAATGATCGCCTGGAAGCCAAGGAGAGATTTTGGAGTTTGCTTCCCCAGCACAGTCCAAGCCCCCAAACCTGCAGCCACCACCCAGTGAACACTAGGGAGACCTTCAGCAGGGCCCAAGGAGAAAGCCAAGAAGGTAGCTTTCATTTCAGGTAAGGCTGGACTGTGTCAGACACACAGAAGGCAGCTCAAGAGCTGGAGCAGAGCTGGGAGTTAGCAGTGGGGGAATGGAGCAACCCAAGGGTGGTTCCCCATGAGCTCTCCCTGTCCTGCAGGGCCAGCTGGAGGCTGTGGATCACACATTCCTCAGCCCAGCTCTAACCACGATGGGAAGAATTTAGATCCCTAATCTTATCCATATTGCTAGGAATACCTTTAACCCGTGGCCCAGAGCCCAGTTAGTTACACAATACCTGACTTAGTAAATATCTTGTCTGCAGCTGGTACAGAAACGCCGCCTGTAAAAGTCAGGATTCATTTCATCAGCAGTGCTGTACCATGGTTCAGTAGCCAGCTACAGTTTAACACCTGCAGCTAGGTCCTTCCCAGGACTCTTGCACAGCCCTGGCAGGGTGCCACAGCCCAGCACGATGCCTGACACCCTGCGCCTCTGCTCTGTGTTACGTTTGGTGTCTGTTGGGACTGGATGCAGCCCAAGCCAAAAGTAACAACAGGCACCTCCCGTTCCTGCTAGGCAGAGATCAGTCTCCCAGTGGGAGATCTCCCTTGCTTCCTTATCAGCATGGGACAGCAGAACCTGGAAACCTCGGCAGAAAGCATTAACCTACAGGCACTTATTCTCCAGGAATACTGCTCCAACTTAGAGGAGCCTCTCTAGAGGGAGTAAGCAGCAAAGAGCCCAGTGGCTGCATGTGCTAACAGCGAGCTGCAGCCTTTATCACAGAGCTGAGTGAGCCCTGCAGCCCCTGGTTCCAATGTCCAGAGCTTGTTACTTGTTGGGCAGAGACGTGGCCTGTAGTAAAAGCCTCTGCACACTAAGATGAACGGCTGCATGTTTGTTGGTCCAGCAGCCACTGGTCAGTGCACGTCCATTAATGCCTAAGATCAAGGTGCACATTGTAAAACCTGAAATCGTGCTGCCCTGTGACCCGCAGTGCAAGGACCCTTCCTCCTTTCCCCATGTTACCAAGGGAGACAGAGCTTCTAACAGCTTTAGCAGCAACTTACAGGAAGAGCTGGAATAAAGATCATCACGTAGACCTGAGTTAACCTGGAAAGAGAGATGTTTACTCAGTTAAGGATACAGGAAAGCAAGAGCCAAACCAAGCAGCATTGCATTTGAGCTCCATGGAGTCTTGACTTCAAGACTACCCAGCCACAGCCAAATACCCAGCCCAGGAGGTCTGGAGGAGAGGAGATACACCAGCCACTGCCACTGGTAGCAAGCTGAAAGGTGATGGGCGCTCCCTGCAGTCCTCCAGATGCAGAGGACACAGAGGCCTCAAATCCCAGGGAAGCTTCAGGGACTCTTTAACCTGTTAATGGGGGTTTCTGTTGGCTTTGCTAGCAAGCAAGGTCCCAGATGACACCCTGTTCTGACCCAGGGGCTTCAGGGCTTGGAGGGCTGAGACCTGACGCGCTGCTGACCAGAGGGGGATCAGATTCAATCTCACCCCTGACCTGGAAACCTCGGGGTCCTGCTGGATGAGCAGGAGGAGCCGCTCGGTGTTGATGAAGAGTGCCCAGCAAGGGAAGCAGAACAGCAGCAGGATGAGGATCCCTCGCTGCAGGATGGTGCCCACCTGCTTCAGGTTCTTGCCACCATATGTCTGCATGAGGACAAAGCAGCAAGGTGAGAGATAGGGGAACCAAAGGATCTGGGCAAGTGCTCAAGACTGCAACAACAATGGACTGATTAAATACCTTTCCCCCCTGCTCCCAGGAGTGGTTAGCACCAAGCTGGTTGGGTTTAGCTGCTTCTCAGATGGATTGCACCCCCCTTTGCTCCCCAAGTGTGACCCAGTGCTCCTCAGGGAGCCCATCTCAGCTCCATCCCTTGCCTGTACCCTGCTGCCCCGTGCAGAAGGAGCAGGCTCCAGACACTGCATGTAGCCCCCAGCTGGCTGGAAGCTACCACCCTCCCACCCTTTGTGCCCAGACCACGCTGTGTAGGAGGTGAGACATTGCCAACCCAACCCCACCAGGTACAAAGGGGGGGAGCTGCACCTTACCTGGGACATCAGTGTGTCACATGCTGAGGCCAAACCAGAACCGATGGAGATGCCTGTCACATTGATGACCTGGAGGAGACACAAGTGACTTGGGTTGCAAGGGAAGACCTGGCCCTAAGCACTGTGTCCCTCCCAGCTGGGTGGAGAGACAGTTCAGCTATGGGTTTTTGGGAAGTTTCCAGTCTTTCTCTGTTTCTCAAAATAACACATTCATGTTACCTAAATAGTCTCTTCCCTGTTCTGATGTGAAAAGGAATCTCTACCAAGGGATGAGTATCTAAAGGACTACAAACAGTGCTGCTCCTCAGCACACACATGCCTAGGTCTGGCAGCTCCAGCTCCCTGACCAGCTGCTGGCCTTGCACCAGCACAGTCATTACTGCTCAGCTCTCATCCCCTGCCTCTGTTCAGGGCAAAGGAAGGAACAACTTGGTGGATGCAATATTTGCATTGCATCAGGCTGTACTGATACACAGGGTCATCAGATAAACATTCCTACAAGGCTTCTTTTTTCATGTCTCTATTTACATGCTTTAAATCAGAGGAGAAGCAGAGTAATACATACAGATACAGCCAGTGTCACGGCGTCCAGCTTGGCTTTTCCCAGATGGCCGCAGAATATGGAGCTGACCACGTTGATCAGGAACCCCAGCAGCTGGGCTACAAACTAGGGGGGGGAAGAGGAATGGTGAGGTGAGCACCCAACCAAACCTGATGAGCACCATCCCTCCCCTGCAGCTGGACCATGACTGGTCAGGTTTGGACCAGCAGCTGTAAGCCTCCCACAGGCTCTCAGTGGCTTTGTCTTTCAACACCGGCTGCTGCCTCTGATGGTATTTTGGTGTTGCAGAGTCAATCTGCCAGATGTCTTTGTTTAGCTGGGGCTTAATGGCTGCCCTAGAAAGCCTCTTTTCCATCATGAAAACCGAGTAGAGAGAGAAAATAAAAAATCCCAATGCTTCTATGCATCTGGGAAAAGCTCAGCTCCACAAACCACACCAAACCACACTGTCCTCTCCTCCTGCAGAGATGCTAAGTCCAGCCTGCTCATTCCTTGCCAGGGGCTACAGCAAGGCTTGGCGATGCTGTCGCAGAGACTGTGCTCACCACCTCATTTTCCCTTGGCATGAGGACAGCCCCGCTCCAGCGTGTGAGGCACAGAGCTGCAGCACAGCCTGGACTGGATGCGAAGAGCTAGAGCCCCACTGACATGTGGACATGGCTGGGGACCATGGCGCTGCTCTCGCTTCTTTCCCAAGCCCAGGCCGCTGGAGAATCAGCTCCTGCGGGGTCTGAGGAAGAACCCAACAAAACCTTCTCCCGCCCCGACCTCCCGCTGCTGCCTACGGATGCTCTCAGGCCCCAACATGTCTCAGCAGTGAGTAATCCCCACAGGAGAGGTCTGCACAACCACGATTGCTCCAGCACGGGGTTTGACATGAAACGAGCGTGAACTACCACGTCCTACACCTGGAAGGCAGCTGTAGGTTTGGTTTTGAGGTTACCGACACCCACAGAGCAGCACTGTGCCAAAGGTAGAAGCACTTGGGGGCACGGGACTTGGGGCTGACGCGTTCTGCTCCAGGAACAGAAACCAGTCGTTACTTCCTCTGCGGCCCCGTCACACCAGGTCCCTGGGAGATGTCACCGAGGGCATCTCAGCACTGTCCTGCAGCTGGTCCTTAGCCACCACGCGGAGCAGAAGATTTGAGCCTCAAGGCTTTGTGTCCCAGGGCTTCAGGCCGGGGGCTGCTCCTGCCCTCGGATGAGGACCCTGCTGAGTGAGGGCTGTGCCACCAGCACCCGGCAGGGAGATGCTGGGAAGGGGCTGCCAGAACCAGCGCTGGCTCTGTGGGACGAGCAAGCAGCCGGGTGCCAGCAAAGGACTAAACAGTGGCGATTTAACGCTTTAATCCCAGCCTGCCGGGTGCAGAGCAGCACACAGCCGCTTCTGCAGAGCTCGG